CCGTGTGCCGTAGGGGGCTCACCGGGGAAGGGTATGGCGATCATTAAGATTCCAGGGGTGACGGAGGTTAATTTTGCGTCTCCACCATCCATCCCGTCTCTCTTGATTGAGCATGTTTGCCGGGGCCTCAAAGCATCGAACCGGGATGACGGAAGGGGGCTTGGCCTTCATGTATTTGAAGACGGAGTGTGACGCTCCGTGTGCTGCAAAAAGGGAGACCCCCCCGCGACTCGGCACTTGCTTGGCTCAGATGCCAGATGGCGTCAATCCACGCAGAGTGATCTCTATTTCCATCCTCTCGCATTCTCGCCGTCCGAAGAGTCTCTTGGGCACAATTGTTGGGCGGTTCATCCGAACTTGACGGTTCCTTATTCATGATGGGGCCTGTCGATCACGCAGCCGATGGTCCGCCGCCAAGGGTTTTACATTAACATGGTTTGGCCTGGTTCAACGATCCACTTCGGCCTCACTTAGATTCGAAAATTTTGGTGCCCTGAGTCTAGGGTCTCGATAGTATCGTGCCCCATCTACATGATCCCACCGACGAAGCCGCCGCTTCAACAACCAGCAGTTGTTCACAACTGCCCGGCTAGCTCAATCGGTAGAGCGTGAGACTCTTAATCTCAAGGTTGTGGGTTCGACCCGTAAGCTTCAATCTACGATCATCAGTATCAGCACAATAACTGACCATTACCAGCCACGTCGGGCTCAATTCCCGTCAGCGATTGACATTATCTTTTTGCACTTCGATCAGTGATCCAAGCAGTCAAAGACTCGTGCCCCGGGTACCCTTTTGGTTGCAAACTTTAGAATCTTGAATATCGCTCTGCTGCTAGTGAAATTGACTGCTCGTCTCGCCTAGATTATGAGTCTTATTTAAAACATCTCGGCCCCCTTTATGTTCAAAGCCAGTCCCCGAGTTCAAACCTTAGTACGCTTTCGCACCTCAACCTCGGCCCCGAAATTCGGTTGCACGATCATTTTGTTGATTTGGTTCGGTGGTCTCTCCGTCGTCTTACCGGCACTTCCCTTCAGATGGATGTCATAGTTCATTAACAACTCAATGAATATGCACTTGATCACATAGACAGCGAAGAAGCGTCCCGGACATGCGTGCGGGCCATGCCCAAAGTTGAACGCATCTGGTCCAGTTGTCGCAGCTTGGTGCTTCATCTCACGACCTGGTTGATCTCGTAGGCGTGCGAAACGGAAACCGTCGAACTCGCTTGGTGGTGCATTGCCAGTCTTGGCATTATACTCTGGGCTGAAGGTCTTTGTTGTGGTAGAATTACTAGGAGTTTGTGAGCCTCGCTCTGATTTTGAGTTTCACCTGGGCTCTGGCATCGAAGCCTCAAGGCGTGTACGACTTACTATACAGCCCATAATGGAAAGGAGATGGCGGTTCCAGCTGGCAACTTCATGCCATTGGAAAAGGTTTGATCTTTGCGAAGCCTTCTGGATGTGCCGGCTTTTCCCTTAAGTGAGTTTTGGACTCAAGTTGATACTAGAATAGGAGTAACTTACCAAAGCTCAATGGACTTGTGCGCTGACTTTCCTTGATGAAGCTATCGAGCTTCTTCAACTTGCCCATAGAAGACTTTGAAAGAAACACTTGCCCATTTTCGTCTTTCTCTACACCATCTTCTTTGATGACTTCTTCGATCTCCTCACGCAGAGGCTCGATGTACTCGGGGCGGCCAAGCAAGTCGTGAAGAGCCTGAGAAACGTTAACTCGAACTTTGGACCATTCAGCATGTAATCTAGATTCATACCAGTGTGGTTGTGCCGGAAGTTGTGTGAATGGCAGCAAACGAAAGCAACATCTGGTTGGTCCCCATTGTCTCTGGAGTCTTCTCCTCGGCAGTCAGATACTTCATCATCCACGATACGAAAGCCCCAGGAGCACCTGGTTTCGCCGGCTTTTCGTCAGGCAAGCTCTCACTTCGGAGAACTTCCTTGACCAAAGGTCGCATCTGCTCGTTTGCTTTTTGAAGCGCTCGGCGCGTATGGCGCACCTCAGGAAGAAACGGGAGGACAAAAGGCCTGATCCACGGGTTCCATCGGAGGGCAGCCATACGACTTTTGCCCACATCTGTAGCGAAGGTAATCGAAGCCCTAATCCAGTCCTCCTCGCGACTCAAGGGCATGCCAACGAAGACCCGGCCAGTCATCAACCCGATCATGCGGAGAACTAGATGGTAGCTATTGAGAGTCTTCCACTCTGCCGAATTTCCAATTAGCTGACTCAAGCCGAATTTAGCTTCCTCCTGAATTGGCCGGAGAACACCAGACATATTCCTTGTCAAGTCGATTCGTACGGCCTCGATTACTTCCCATCGACTCTCGCCGACGTGAGTGTAGCGGCCGAGGAAGATGTCGTAAATCTCAGCAGCGAAGGACATCTCAGAGTCTGGTGCTTGGATAACCTCTTGGTATAGGTTCATTGGAAGCATGACCCTTGGGGGGTCGCTTGGAACCACGAACGCCGTGTCTGGATACTGTCATTCGAGTCTCGGTTAGTTGACGATTCAGTAGGAAGTACAGGAAGCCCGGCAAAATCACCTTTTGATAGCCATCGATAATAGCGGAAGACAGGCTCCGTTCATTAGGAGATCCAACGAGTGGAAGCCCGTAATTCGGCTTTATCTTCTTACGCAGTCGATCCACTGCGATGATTACAGCCGCGAGAGCGACTGGCGCCCACAGTAGCCACAACATATTATCGATGCTTCAAAGAGAACACACTGATGATGGACTTCGACGAGATCGATAAACGTCTCAAGTTTGTCTTGCGGGGCAGTCGGATCTTTGTACGCTGTACGACCCCAGCTGAACCCTGAACGTCGCAATCTGTCACACAGTTCGAACGGACTACGGATTCCACGAACGCCTTCTCCGCGTTCCCCACGTGTCTCTGGGGCCCTTCAGTCCTATCGTTTTCGCAAACCTTAGCGGTGACGTGCAATCAGGGAGTAAAAATTCGCCGACGGAGGCGGAGGAAAGCTTACTGAGGGACCCTGCTACGCAGCCGCCTAGGATCCTTCGCGTACGAAATGCTGACCGTATTCGGTAGATCGTATCAGCGCTAGAACCACTAGGGTGTCGCGAGGGCGTTAGCAACCTCTTTCTCGCGTATAAGGAAAAAGGAACCATAGTGGCAGTGGAACCACTTCACTGTCAAATCATTTCTTAGATGAAGATAAGCTGCTGAAATACGCGTCTTATGTTTCATGGGATTTCCGCGTTAAGCTAGCGGTCAGATGGTTGGCTGCTGGGCTGCATATAACTCGTCGATTTGGCTGGTAGGATGCCCGCTAATATGCTGACACCTGCAAGGATCGTCTTCTACCTTAGCTCGTGTGACAATCAACCTGGAGAGAACGAATTGGTCGGCGCCGTTGGGAGGATTGAACGGATCATGGGACGCTTGCTGGCAAAACCTTGACATCAATTATCCCTCCGGAGCCATTGACATAAAACGACAATGGAGGCATTGAAACCATCGTGAGATACAGCTGGGATGACGACCCCCTGGTGACTGACATTCCTTCTACTCCTGATGTTTGATTAAGTGGGATGTCGTACACGTCGTTTCAAGTAGGTACTAGGACTCTATGGATTGTCAGACACTCTCCTGTAGGTAAGTACTCTTAGAAGTAAGATACTTATTGTCCCAACATAGGTAAGCGATTTGCAGTGATCCTGGTATACTAATCATCTTTTCATAGAACAAGAAGGGTGTGTATGATCAAGACTGTCGCTTACAGAGAGAAATCTCACCAGTAATGGGTCGTCTCACGGGTGATGACTACTTGTAGGCGAAGAAGGCATAACATGTCAAAAGCATAACATGTTGAGCTCTTATGCCTTCGCTCGTATAATTTCATGCCGCAACTGAAGCACCCGAATGAAACACAGAATGACGATTATGATAAGCAAAAAAGGGCGTATAAGGCCCGGTGTTGTTATGCTCTAGTTTCAAAGATTCTTGTTCGGTCTAAAGATCCTGGTTTTGCAAGATGGAGAGAGCCATTAGCAATAGAAACATCTGACAGAGTCCAAGATTCTATACATATAATCGACTCAATTCTGTTCAAATAGTCCCACGAATATGAGTGTTAGCCACTGGCAGAATATTTGCTAGATGGTGTGAGTGAGCCCTTCCATCAACGTTGGAGACCCTGGCGCACTGAGGTAGGTAAGATGCCATCTGATAAGCTGATTAAGACAATTACAAACGAACAGCAGTAACACAATCAGAAGAGCTTCGTGTATCTCAATAGGTAGACTACGGTATGTAACTGTCCTTGGGCCTTGTGGGTTGACGGTTCACCAGCCCGATATCCCGAATCAAGGAGTGTCAAAAATCACGTGCATAACTCTCCATAGCCAGTGAGTATGCTTCTGAAACAATCAATTTTAGTGCTGTTGAGTTACAGGCTCACAATAGAAAGTCCAAAAGGCCAGTTGTCCAGAGGTGAGTGACCAGGTAGGTGGCTCCGAATTGGGAGTTCGGAAGAGAAGCCGTCGGTTCCAATCAAGGATCTTGGCCTAGCTCGGCAATTCGAGCATCTTGTTATTTTCCGACAAATCAGATCTTAGCCACCTGCCAGGGACGGCAGCCGGAACCCAACGATTTTTCGGCCTGCAATCTATTTCTCACATTTCACCATCGCATAATGCATCGAGTCTGGCGCTTTGCCCTGGATTGTGCGTCGATCCTCTCTCAATTAGGCTTCTCGGATGGAGAACTGTGTTGACGGCCCTTTGGTAAATCATAACCGTCGCATTGTAGCGAGGCGCCTTTGGTTCCGTTCTTGACCTGGAGACATTCACTCCGGTATGGGAGAGACACTGCCGTAGCAAACGTGATCACTGGACCAGCTCTCGAGGTATAAGAAGCAGCGAGTTTGCTACACGGAGAAGATATTGCGAATGAGTTGACATCCACGCAAGCAAACCCGCCGGTCGAGTAGCTGCTCATTCAGACAATCGTCAAAATGCATTTCGCTTCACTTCTAACTCTTCTTTCTACCCTAGGAGCAGTATCGGCATCACCTCGCTTTGGTACGAGAGGACATCACTTCCGCCGTGCAGGCACCGGCAACGACACAACAAACCCCTTCGACGGGAAGAAGCTTTACGCCAACCCAGACTGGGCCGATAAGCTTGAACAGACTCATGATGCCTTCGTCGCCAAGGGTGACACTGTAAACGCAGGCAAGGTCCGAACCATCCAAGATATCGGTACATTTGTCTGGATTGCGGACGTTTCTGGTCTAGCAAATATCGACACGGCTATCGAACGAGCCCGTGCCGTTCAGTCTAAGACGGGCGAGCAGCAAATTGTCGGTCTGGTACTCTACGACCTCCCTGACAGAGATTGCAGTGCAGGAGAGAGTGCTGGCGAATTTAGCAGCGAGAACAACGGGCTTGAGTTGTACAAGGAGACCTTTGTCAAGCCATACGCAGAGAAGCTGGCTGCTGCCAGTGACTTGACCTTTGCCGTTGTTCTCGAGCCGGATTCCTTGGCGAACCTTGTAACGAACTTAGGAATCGAGTTCTGTGCCAAGGCGCAACCGGTGTACGAGGATGGTATTGCGTATGCTATTTCAAGCTTGCAGTATGATCACGTCAACCTCTACATTGATGCTGCTCATGGTGGATGGCTAGGCTGGAACGACAACCTAGAGCCTTGTAAGTCTCGTGATTGACAAAAACTCACTTTCCGACGACATGAGTTACTGACAATGATCATAGCCGCGAAGCTCTTCGCCAAGGTCGTCCAGAAGGCCGGCAATAACACCAAGATCCGCGGTTTCTCGACCAACGTCTCAAACTACAACCCCTTCCACGCCAACCCCCGCGCCAACTACACAGAATGGAGCAACTCGTATGACGAGAACAACTACGCGCTATCCCTTTCTCCCTACCTGGAGGCTGAAGGTCTGCCATCCCGGTTTATCATCGACCAAGGCCGTGTCTCCAACAGCAGAGCCGAGTGGGGTGAATGGTGCAATGTCCATCCGGCCGGGTTCGGTATGCAGCCCGGCACGCCGGTGAACAACACCCATATTGACTCCATCGTGTGGGTGAAGCCAGGTGGCGAGAGCGACGGACGCTGTGGTCTTGAGGGTGCACCTAGGGCTGGTGCTTGGTTCGATGAGTATGTACAGATGCTGGTCGAGAACGCTGACCCTTCTATCCTTCCGAGTGACGCTTAAGGAACAATGTCCGTCTCATTTCCGATGACAACTTCGCAGTTGTGAACCGTCACCGTGGGATTCCCTTCATGTTCATAGTTCGTCATTAGAAGTATATAAGGCACATATTAAACCAGAAATCATGGCTCACTAAAGAGCAAAGTTGCGAACATACACCCACAGTCGAAGTTAAGATTGGATTTTGGGGACTATTGAGGTCACTTATCACACATGACTTCACCTACCAACTCGTAAGAAGGCTTGGAATTGGAGAAGTCACCAGAGTTTCTTCCACCGTACCTTGACATCGCGATCCGGAGGTACAGCAGCTGTACCAAAGTACCGCTCATCATCCACAGGGGGTCGATCAGACTTGGACCCGTCCAAATTTGTCCACTCAACAAACTCCATGTCGAACTTTGTGACAAGGATGGCGATTGTGAGAAGAATCTCTTGTTTGGCAAAGAACCGCCCCGGACACATGGATGGTCCACCACCTATGCATGATGTTAGTTTACTCTGTCATTGTGGTGACATGCCCCTCGTCATTGAAACTCAGGAAAGTCCACTTACCAAACGGGATGAACTCATTGGTCTTTCCCTCCAATACAAACTGCTTTTCGGTGGTAAGTCGATCAGTACCTTCTTCTACTTTCTTCACATGCTTTAGATGTCTCTCTGCCCAAAACTCAGAAGCAGAATGTCCTTCTTGGCTCCATATCTGCTCGTCCAAGTGCACAAAATGTGTCGGGGCCTGAATTATTGAGCCTTTCTCCAAGCGGAAGCCGTGGAGCGTGGTTGCCTCGACGACTTCTCTGGAGAGCGCAATGGAGACATGAAGACGCATGCACTCCGTATAAATAGACTGCATCAGCGGCATTGAGATGAGCTTGGATACATTGAAGGACCGCTTCCCGGTAACGGGATCCACATTAAGGGTCTCAAGGGCCTCGCTGCGAACTGCTTGGAACAGCTTCTGATCTCGCAAGAGCTCAATCATCGCCCAGGTGGTGATTGGTATTGTGTTCGCGTTTATTCTGACAGATTAGCATCAGTGCACCTTGTCAACACGAAGCTTTCGGACGTACCCAAAGATCGCAATCATGTAGAAACCGGCTTGAGTCTCCGGAGCCATATCTGTGTCGTGAAGCCATTTGGTCATCTTGCGAACGTAGCTTGATCCGAACGTGGGCTCCCAGATGGAATCCACCGCAGAACCGTCCCAATCAAATTTTGCAAAGGCCTTTCTCAGATACTTCTGCGTCATGCCGTTCAACTTATCGCGTTCATTTACCGGACCGCTGTTGATCCACTTTGGTAGCCCATACACAACCTGAAAAGCGATGCTATCGAAACGCCAGAACTGCTCGACGTAGTCCGGAAACATCTCCAATAACTCGGTGCCGCAGAATGACCTGATGGCGCTCGCACACATTTCCCTCTTCAAGAATTCCAAAAGACGAACAGTCGCCCACTGGCCCACAGGCTGCTTTTCCAAAGCCTCGTTAAAGAAGTTTGTGTAAGTCTCTGCCAAATGAGCGGTGGGCTCTGCGCGTGATAGATGTTCAACGGTAATGTGATGCAAAGTGTACCAATATCGCTCCTCTTGCGGTGTGTTTTCGTAGCCGGGTGCAGGTACTCTTTGCCGCCCCGAGAGGTCGTTTGCGAACTTGTCGACATCTTTTTGGGCGGACCCTTGCAGGTTTCTCATGACCAGTAGGATGAACTTGTTCGAGCTGATGCTGGTAGACGATCGAAACATGGCTTGCACGCTTTCTCCTCCCTGAACAAAGTATACGCGCATTGGTCCTAGGTAGAATTTGACGATGTTGCTGTGATTCATGGAACGGCTTACAAGCAACAAGTCAGCGACGCCTCAACATACGGCACGACCTGCCATTTCATCTTGACGAACCTTGCACGCTCCATCAGTCTTCTGATATTCGTCATGTATTGATAGGTATTGCTGATGAAAGGCACGACCTCGGGAAGTGAGGGTGGCTCATCTTGACTTGGCCGGCGGAGGCAAACCAGCAGTATTACGGGTATCAACAGTGCGATGGCAGCCGTTATAGGATGATGAGATGTCCACTCAAATATACTCAATACTTTTGAAGGCATTACGAGCATGAAGAGCGTTGGTTTGACTAACGGGCAGGTGTTGAGGTCGTACGTTGTGGAACGCAAACATCACGCCTCTTCTTCACGCCACCGACAGGTGCGGGGTCTATGACCATGAGATGAACCTGAGGGATTCAGCCACCAACAAAGCACCCCGGCGCTTACGTGTAGTGTACCGCATCACATGATTGAGCTCGATTTTGTAATTGCGCTAATTAAACAGTAGGGAGATAACAATGCGAATCCCACTATAGGCATGCAGTTCGCCGGTGGGATCTCGTCTTCAGGCGTCAAGTATTGGTGAAAATCGTTCTGACATGAAAACTAAAATTCGCGACGGTGTCTTTCCAATTTGGTCAGGTCCCTCAAATTTGACTCCGCTCACTGAGTATCTCCATCGTTGTTCAATTGCAGACCCCCTATTGAGGCCATGACATCAGATATGTCGGAAGCATCGCTCCATTTCCCATGCAAAGTCATGCTGACGGATGACGTGATGGAATCGTGGTTTCTGAATGTCGGCCTCACCTTTTTCTCCACGAGATTGAAGGCATCTTTGCGAATCCTCAAAAGTAACCTATCGACCATAACTTGTCGCTTCTCTTCGCCTGCGTGACCTTCGGATTGGAGTACATCAGGAACGCGCCAGCTGATATAAAGGTTCTTGTGACTGCTTCGATGCCCGACGCCAGACCGGTGCTCCTCGAAGTAGTACTGGCAGAGCCGGCAGGTTGGCTTGCTGCTGCCAATGTACATCCAATTATTGAAGAACCTGTCAGGGGAAACGCCTCCCGCTGTTTTCTCGAGGTGATTGAGCAGCAAAATCTCCGAGTGGACAATTGGATGAAAGTTGTCTTTTTGATATTCTGTTTGAATTCTTTGGTCCAAGTGCATGATTTGCAGGTCTTGAACGAATTCCCTAAACTTTTCGATGATATCTTCTTTGCGGGTCATGCGACCGACAATGCCTTCGGCGGTCATACTTTTGTTCCGTCCTGGTCGCGAGAGCGGGTGACTGGATGGGTGAATCAAGATCTCGAAGTTTCGAAATATCTCAGGCCAGTTGTCTTTCGCAAGAAGGAAGAACTCGATGTCCTTACAATATGCCAGAAGACGATTAACCATATGCCGTATCTCAGGCCAGTAAGAAGAGGAGCTGCTTGTGACTCCATTCAAACGAACTCCTGTCGCTTGTTGGTCGATGTATACCCAGACCTCGGAGGCTTTCAAGTTTATCAGGTTGTGTAGAAGAACGTTGCATTTGTGAAGGTCTGTGGCATCATCTGATTAGGTCAATCACTCCTGGATAAGTGTAGTTTCGTTGATAATCAACGGCATCCAACTCACAATGAGATTGAGTGGCCATCCTGTCATCGTGAAATTCAAGCAGTCCGAGAGTGCTTGTTAGGGATTCAATGACTGATTCAACTATCAACGTGCTATAAGTCATTCATACTTTCAACTTAGTCGTCGAACGTTCAACAGCTTGGCCTACCATTTCGAGCATCATCGATGCAGCGTTGTATCTCTTTCTTAAGTCTGACGATGTAGGAGTTGATTCTGGGTCTGTTGAACCAGAGTACTGCGTTTAGCAAGTCCTTACGCAGCTCTGAGGTCCTTTCTGACGTTGATGCTCTGTTCAATCGCTCAAGTAGATATTGGATGTATGCCCTGACGTTCTTGAGATCATCTGCAATTCGCTGATTCGATGCAAGATGATACTCAACATTTGTTGCCTCGGAACCGTGAAGCAACATGATTGAGGTAACGGTACCGCCCCCGTTGCCCGGGGTACTGTCGCAAACATGAGCTAGCTTGTATATGAAGGCCTGGAAGATTCTCTTCACATCTCCGCGATAGTTGAGATCATCCGGGTCGACGAATTCGGCCAGGTTTGTCATCTCATCGTTCATTGCCTTCAGAAGAACCAGGGGCTCATAAAACTTGTTGATGACTCGAGACTTCATCGAGATAAGTCCAGCTGTAGCAGTAGTCAGCGGCGATGAGATAGACAGCTGTATGTAGCTTCAGGAAGCACATGATACGAACGTGGTGAGGTCGCAACTGGAACCATGTTGATGTGGTGATTTGAAAATTGCACCTTGAATGGCGACTGCTACATAGGGAAATCAAAGGCGCCGACGTCCTTCAGCATTGTGCTGTTGCTCCCACTAGATTCGCAAGATATACAGCTTCAAAAACGTCTGCGCAACATCACGGGACAAGTAAATGACCGTGACGACATGTAATTACGTTATCCCATCGACTGCTACAAGGCGACAGTACAATGGTCTCCAGCTTTTCTCTAAATTTTCTGAGATATGAATTTTTTAATTTGCGGATATCCCATCGACTGCTGCAAGGCGACAGTACATCCGAGTGCGGGGGAAGAACTAATTAGGCGTTATTCCGATTTATTTCCACTATATCCGCAAATTAAAAAATTCATATCTCGGAGAATTTGGAGAAAAGCTGGAGACCATTGTACTGTCGCCTTGCAGCAGTCGATGGGATAATTTGACCAAATTTATGGAAGTAGTCATCCTTAGTCGCTTTACTTCGTGCATCAGCTGCAGGAGGCCAGCCCACCATCCCGTGAAGGATTAGCTCGTCCCAACGGATTTAAGCTCAGACTTTGTACCAGGACTTACACCCTGGACCAGGAACAGGCTTATACACTTCTTCGTCTCATTGGAGAGTTTCTCCGCGAAGCCCGAAGTTGGGCTGACATCGATAAGGTCTGAAGCAGCGATAGGCCTGAACAGCTCGAGAGCAGTGAACGTCAATTTGGTTGGGGATTCGAAATCCAGCCTACCGAAACGACTACACCCGCCCGCCGCTTCCATCTTTTTGTGAACACATGATGTGAAGGTACATATAAGTTGTCGGTTCGGACTGTCGTCAGCTAGCTTTTGATTTGTTAATCGCATTTTCCCCGTCCGGATCGCAATCGGAACTGGCGATTCCTTCGCTCGCTCAGAAAGTAACCCTTGAAAGCCTCAGACCATGAGCTCTCCGACACCTTCCGAGCCGTTTGAGGAGTCGGAGAGCCCTTCTACTGTACTCACCGAGCTTTTAGGCAATGAGGACTTGTCCACGTGGGATCCGCTAGGCTGGCCTCCGGTCGATCTGCTGATTGAGACAGATCAGATTTCAGCCCTTGTTGATACAGCCCTTCAAGACATCAACCCCAATTTGCTCGATTGTTTTGAGATCAATCACTTGTTTCAACCTACGCACTACCCAAATTACGATGAGAATGAAGCCCATATCAACCATGCCGGGGATAGGGTCCAGATATCGGCTATGGAGACCGAGTCATCCTATAGCACTCAGCAACATTTCATGGTAGAGATTTCTGCTTCTACTGAAGACCCATCCGACATCTCCAATACCGACGCGAGTATCTGGGATGCTCTCCATGGACCTACTCCGATGGCTTAGTTGTCGGAATTTACACATGTTTCTGGCCTTCGCTCGTCAAGTCATGAGCCGGCTGAATTCTGTCAAGGTACCTTCGGGGAGCAATCAAGCCTGTTGTTTGTTGTTGATGGTACTGAACCCCTCCTGCTGTATTTGGGCGGGACTGAATTGACGGCTTCGTAGTATCCCACCCAGGACGTGTCTTCTGTCTCAAGCACCAAAAGTGGTATGAGGCGGGTGAAAAGTTTCGGTAGGTTTGACCCTCTGCATGCCTTGCCAAGCCCACAAGACATCTGAACTTCCGTCAGGCGACATGAAAAACGACACCGACGACGGGTCAAATGCGGTTACGAAAAGTGCTCCATGACATTTGCAACATCCAAGGAGCGGAACGAGCACTCTTATCGCTATCACAAGAAGTGGTCTAAAGAGAATAACATACCTGATCCGAGGCGACGTTGCCAAGTATGCCGAACAAAATTGTCAAAGGCGTCCTACATCAAGAGACATTTAAAACGATCTCCCGGCTGCAATGCAATCCTCGGAGGATTGCCCACCAAGGATCAAACTCTCATGCTGTCTGACTCCGAGAACGATTGATGGGTATTGATATGGAGTTTCCCTTATGGAGCTTGGACCTTCGACAAGCTGAAAAACGTATATCCATGTAGGGGTTTGTGTCATTCGCTTTGAAGACCACCTTGGGCCCTGGATAGGTCTGAAATTACTCAGTTCGGTTGGTCTGAGTTCCGTGCCGGATCCGAAGGCTCGGTCTCGCTAAGGTACGGACTTGAAGATTTGCATAAGTAGGTAACGCTGAAGGACCAGCAGCTCATCGTTCGCTGGGAACCAGGCAAAACAGGACAAGACTGAATAGAGGAATGATAAACACGATTGTTTCAAATAGCATGGGAGAATTCCGAGTCTTAAATCTCCAATCTGCGCGGTTGTCTTTTTGTCGAGTCAACTAAAGTAGGAAATGGCTCATTCCACAACGCCGTGACCTCGGTACCGTAGAGAGGAAAGACCACAAATGGGGACCCTCGGATCCCACGGCATGCAAGATTACTTAACAATCCTAGGGACAGTATCCGCACACCGGTATTTCGAGCCCACTATTCACCATTGCTCCTTGCCGGCGACGACTCAGATGCAGCGGCAACACGAAACCGAATGTAGTCAGGCTGGGACCTTGTTCTCTCATACACATTTGACCGCTACTACGTCCGGACACAAGACATAACTGATCACGAAAGTTCCAATGGTCAAGAAGAATGAGCGAAAGCTTTCGGACCCGTCCGCATCGTCACCCTATCAACCTAAATGAGTGGTAAGTTGGAAACTCTGTATCATCTGAGTTCTGGTATTGAGTGCATGTATTATCTGTAGCATCAACTATCAAACCATGACTCAATCTAGGCTTGAAGTTCATAGTCACGACCAGCTATCTCATCGCGGGAGGCATACGTCGACTGCTGAGCCTCAACGGATCTTCAACAACGAGCGGGATGCAGCATACTAGTACGCGTATTGAAGGTACTGTGCTTGAATTGGCAATTAAAGTGAAAAGACTCATTGCAGAAAATATCCACATGCAGAGCTATGAATGGCAACTTTTCAGAATAAGGTTTGTCGATCGTGGAACAGCTTCTAGAGGAAAACATGAGGACTGACTCGATCCATCACCTGATGCTATTTCAGGAATGGCGATCGCTTACTGCTCTTTCCTCAATTGAAGAAGCAATCATAGTTGGACTATAAATCTCCAAGCTGGCAAGACTTTCAATTTATAGTCACACGGCACGACATCACAACCTTCACGTCCTTTACTCCTTGATTGTCATTTCCGACGTCTGCTCTAAGGTAGGTTTCCAACTTGAAGCAAAGCTGACGGAGAACTTGACCCACTTATCCTTGTCATAGAAAAGGAAGACCCTGTCTATACACTTGTCGAAATATTGCCTCCGAACCGCAGCCATGAAGTTCGCCACCATCGTCGCCGCAATCACCTTGGTTACCTCGGGCGTCCTTGCCACCCCTTCTGAGAAGAACAACCTCATGCGTCGCGACTGCTACGACTGCCACTACAAGTCTTTCGACGCCGGCCGCTGTGATGGAAGTTGCAGCAGCTCGGAACCCGAGGGTAGCGGACAGGTCTGCCGGAAGTGCATCAGTGGATGCCCTGCTACGACCGACGCCGATCGCGGAGACACGCCCGCCGTGAGCTGCTAGAAATGGTCAAGATGATTATTTCATGGTCTTGAGCACGAAGCGACAGGAACATAAGGCTGAGGAGATCCGAAGAATCGTCTAAGAGTAAGACCAGCGGCAGGAAGTGTCGAAATTGTAGTATTCAATCAATCCACTGAGTACCAGTAATTAGTTGGATTCACAATGAACGAGGGATTATTTGATTACAACCCTATCTGGGACAAATCTGCGATGTTAATGCCGTGGGGCAAATCGTCTACCTACTTTAAGTGCAACGCTGGGCTGACATCTTCGTACGCCTTGACGATCAAAGCGACATCTGTTCCTGATACAGTTCCCAAATCCGATAGCAGACTGATTTTAAGCGATGCTCAGCTGTAACAAAACTTATTAGTACGAGACCTACGATACATTGAGACATGATAGATCAGCATGGTCGGCGGTCGTGAAGACATGACCCATTACTGAATCGAGGTTACAGTTCCTCATATTTACGGCTTGCTAGATGACAAAATTTCGATACTGGACAAATGCGTTTGCTTATGAGAGTACTTCAAAAGATTGAGGGAACGTAAAGCGACATGTTAGCGTCAAGACCCCCTCCTCGGCTCAGGATTCAAGCAGATGAAAATGAGCCTTGCGCAAACGATGTCATCCTGTGCTCGTTAAGTTCCAGCCCATCAGACAAGAAGCTTCCCGACAAGGAAATCTCCATGGCATCTGGAAACCACACGCGGAAATACTCGCTCCCGACTGGACTCGTCGCCATCACCTTGAATACAAGCCCGCTGTTGCGCGCATGTATGTCCTTCACTAGCATTCCTAGCCATTGCATGACCAGATACATTCCCCGGATGTGCAACTCACTCTGCAGAAAGTTCACACCATCAATCATACAAAAAATAACTCCGGATCCCAATTGGTTTACGACATTCTCGAATACGCCCCATAGGATTTCCAGATCATGACTTCGAATGGTTTGCAAGTCTGCCTCTGCTAGAAACCCCAACTCAATTTGATCCGATGAAGAAAGAACAATTTGTGAGATCAATGACCTTAACAAACCAGTGGGACCAGGAAGAGCACCGTCTGGGTCGCAGTGTAGACGGCAGAAGAATGCCAGAGGGCGAGCACAATTGATGCGGGAAAGTGTCCGAGCCAGTATGGAACACATGTAGCTCAAGGGCGAGACAACATCGGTATGTAATGCGTCAAAATCCATGCCACAAACGGTCAAGACTTGAGAGTTCATAGATTTGAACCAATCTTGAAATCTGAAGTCCTGCGTGATGGAGGTAATACGGCCTTGCTTTTGTGCGTTCAGCGATTTGCCCATGAAGGACACGAACTCCGAGTCTCGCTGTATAGCAAAGACAGCATGTGCCTCAGCAGTCGCCAATAACCCGAATCCAAGCGCCGAAAGTAATTGTGATATCGTGACTTTGGGGATCGATAGGTGGTAGTGGTGTGTGACCTGGTGAACCTGCTGCTGACGTTGGAAATTGAGTTCTGCCCGCAAGGATTCGATCTCTTTCATCCACCCTGTTGACGTACGTCAGTTCCTAGCAATCCGACGCTGTGAAATGCGGGCCATACACTTAGACTCCTGCGCCCTGTCATGAAGGAAATTCTCGATTGATTTCAATGCCTCAAAGGACTTTTGCGCCTCTGCTTCTTGTCGTTTAGCTTCTTCGGCCCTCCTCTTCGACTCATCTCCCTGCAATTGATGAAATTTGTCAAAGGAATTGCCAAGTGTAGTTATGTCCTCGGCAACACCGTCAAACTTAAGATGAAAGGATTCTCTGACTGCATCGTCAAATTGTGTCGAAGCTTCCTCAATGCTGGTGGTAATCTTTTCTCGGAGTTCAGAACCGTAGTCGTCACCGGCGAAGATCGACTTGAGCCCTGCCCTGAACCCGCCAAAGTCTAAGACAGTCCGTCAGAAGATGATCAGGATAGTAGTACAATAGAATATTATGGTCACTTCGTCAACGTACCCTTCATGAGATCTTCAAGCCATCTGATCATCTCTTCGATCGCCACTAGGACTGCAACATACAGTGTCTCAACTGCACTTTGAAGAAGGGGGGACTTTGCGTAAAGCCGAACGTAGATCTTCGTCGCATCAATTTCTTGTGACAAGGTACCCAAGGCATTCAAAACAATGTCGACAAGCTCGTGATGACGCTTCGCAGCCTTTGTTACATTAGAGGGCTGCGCGGAGATTCATAAGGCATATGACTTGCACTGCATATCAACTTGAGACCACCGCATAGTGTCCCTGAATAGTCTCCGCTTGGCAACAACTCTATCAAAAACTCAATGCGACGTGCAGAGGTCGTAAACAGTCGATTTCTGTAGCCGAATATGTTTCTCTGCTTCTTGTACTTATCGCAAACAGCCTTAGCTTCCACGAGGACATCCTCCCAAGAGGCTGTGTTTCGAAGTATACTTTTTGCAGCCGAGTCAGAGGATCTCAGGAGGTATCCTTCTATATATTGATCAAACTTTGCTTTCCTACCTTCAAGCCTACCCCAGATATACGTCAATTACGATAAGGTAATTCAGATTATAGCATTACTGAACCGTTGGTACTTAGAAACTGATTGACTTACTTTTTTGAAGCTGGAGTAACTTCTCGATCCTTCACAACATCCTCCCACGCCCATGCAGCGTCTACCGAAGATGCATGGTGTCTGATCCATAGTCCATACTCCTTAGCGTCCGTCGATGCCATATTAGTGGCGGCCATATGATGTACTCTGCTCCAGCGAGCTGGTTGACAAGCGGCGATATTCAAAAATCAATGAAGTCGATAGAATGTCACTGATCAATTCAGGAAGCGCCTGGCGCGTTGAGGTAATGTTATCTTTATTAACCTCTGGGCCTGCCAGCGTTCGTATAGGTTGTAGCCTGATTCTTCGTTTGTCGGGATGTCCTCATCCACGCATTAGGACCTAGGTGCTTACGCTTTTTCATCAAAGACTGGGCCGTACTGGTAGCAAGGCGGTCGGGTAAGTGCCTGGTTGGCTACATGATGGGGATTGCATTCGAGGAGGGTGCCAGTGGCGTCTCGGTACCACTTCTGATAGGGTTGTCCTATCAGGGTCATTATGCAGGCTTGCTTATCTACATGAAGAATGAGCTGACGCGAACGTATGCACCCAAGGCCAAGTTGGTTCTTCTGTGTAACCTCAAGCAGGCTGAGCTATGTCTATTTGTGGTTCTCACAATACGTACTTCTGTAGCTGCACCTACATTTGAGCTGGTTGAAAATCGAGGATACTTTGCTATCCCCACTTGTTTGTCGTTCATCCAGAGAACCAAGTGTCTCACAAGTTGAGCAAGAGGTCCGACACAAAGGCTGCGCAACAATGTCTGCTGTCGGAGAAGACCACGATGGGACTGGTGACACCATGGAGGTTTGTGCTTGCGAAATGTACGAATATTCACGCACTGACTCTTTCTTATGATTATTAGGGCATACGAGAAACAAGGCATATCGAGAGAGAGTCAAGAAGAAGCTCGATCCAAACAAACCAACAGTCGACAGTCGAAAATGTGACAGGCATCAATGTTAATGGCCCCGAACAAGTGGATGCGGAGCTGTTGAGGCCTCGAGTCAAGGAACGCATTGAATCGAGCTTAGGTTCTCTGAAGGCAATGGAAAACCGTCTTCGAAATCTCTCTCGAAAAGTTGAATCAATCGAATCAGGAGATGAGATAGCCTCGATCGAAATGACAATGCAGCAGCATCAAGAAGACTACAGTCGTCTCCAGGTGTCACTTGAAACCCTTCGCCCCGACATTCAGGACGAGAATGCCGACGGCAGAAGATTACAATCACCAGCAACGCGGGGCCGTTCAAGGAGAAGATCAGGGCATCCAGGCTCAGGTTCAATCCGGAGCAGCTCTTCTCAGAGTAGCCGGGGCTCAGTTTCTACGACAGACTCCTATTACCGGAGTGGAATTTGTACCCCAAAGCTCAATTATGGTCCCTGGCTGGAGATTGCAAGCGACTCCCGAGGACATGAGTATTTTGCAATCGACATTCCCTCTAATGAGCCAACAAGGGTTGAACTCCAAGCCACCAAAGATTTTCAGCGTCAACAGCATGATCTGCATCGACAAGCTATTTCTATCGTACCTGATCAGGCTCAGCTCCCTGAGAGGATTCGAGTGAACTCTAATCGTCTGATGAGATTCATTCTATCTGCAGCTGAAGAAGGCATCTCGCGGCCTATCAACTCAAAGCAATCGCTACATATTCTGCGGCCTTTCAAAGTCCTGCTTACACTCGGGGGCAGGCTTCAAAACCTTATCAATATTCTTGAGAGTGCACGCAAACTACAGCAAGACGCATCTGAAGAAGAATATCTTGCACAGCTCAATGATGATAGCCTCGAGACAGTCTTGGACGAACTTGTGGCAGCGGATCCGAGTCATGATCCTCCTACAGACATCCGGGAGTTGACAGCCTATATTCTAGATCTCCGATGTTTGCAAGATTTTATGCAAAAGACACTACAACCCCAGGTCGAACGCATTACCAACATGACTGAGCCTATCAGGTTCTCTGAACTTTGGTACATCTTCCCCGAAGGCTCTTTGATTATCTCAAGAGATCACAGAGTTCTACAGAAGGTCTGGAAGGTCATGGGACGCGGTGGCGGCCGCTGGTCGCGTTCGCGTCCCGGCTTTGAGATTCCCCTGACCAACGACTTTAATCATTTCTTCATCGAATGCTTCTGCCTTGATTTCAACGGAGACCGGTTTGTTCCAGTTTGGCAGTCTTTCACGATTCCTGACTTCGAGGGTGTCCAGGATATCATGAACTTGCTAGTTGTCCCAATCAAAGTGGCCGAGAGAGATCAGTCGCTTTTTGACCGGGGGGCAGTCCAGGCACGTGGCAAAAAGTTCATGGAACTTGCCTCTACTGGAGCCCGGCATCGTCACTTCTCCGGAAGAAGTCTCCATCTCACGCTCAGAGGCCAAAAGCTCGCTGCAATGGGAAGAGAAGCACCTAAAAGTGCGTTTGAACATGCAGAAAGGATCGACAGTGAAGTCATCGTCGACATGGCAAAAGCCCTCGAGGAAGTTCCGACATGGCTTACTGTCCCAGAACATCGAATGAAGGCGCCAAATACAGCTGGCGAGCTGGCGCCGGTTTTCAATAAACGGGGATCGGCTGCTCTCAGGGATACTGATACAGGCAGTCAGACATTCATCTTCTCGGAACGACGCAAATGGAGACAGTGGGAAACTGTTATATATACACCATCTGGTGATGATCAATTGCTCTTACCCAATAGAGTATTCGCTTTCATCTTACGAAACAGAAAGTGGGGTGAGTGTAAACATGCTCCCAGAGATCATAGGTACGCAATGCTAAACCTCAACATCAAGCATGTCTCCCAATTGTCCATGATATCCGTGGAAACGACCTCCTTCTACCGATTTCAAACCCTCCGGAACCATGGGACGATCTTGAGCTACCTACCGGTCACAAAGAGCTCGTACAATCTCTAATCAGTTCACACTTTTCCCAAGACACTTCACGCAGAATGCACTTGGACCTTGTGAAGGACAAAGGCTAGCTAAACCATGTTTGAGGGGCGAATCTTTCGCTAACATATTTCTTTTCTGTATCTAGGCCGGGGGGTTATCATATTGCTACATGGCGTGCCTGGTGTGGGAAAGACTTCGACAGCCGGTGAGTTGACAGCATGATAAATTGACTGGGCATTTGACCGGTACTGAGGTTGATATTTACATCTGGTTTACAGAATGCGTTGCTCAGGCCTACAACCGGCCCTTGCTACCTATTACATGCGGTAATCGCAAACTGTCCCTGAGTATTGAGGCCTTGAAAACTCACAAAACGTAATAGGTGATCTGGGCCTCGAGCCATATGAAGTTGAGTCAAAACTACAAGAGATATTTCGTCTGGCTCACGCTTGGGATTGCGTACTACTTCTCGATGAAGCAGATATATTCCTTGCCCAGAGAACTACCACCGACATGCAACGGAATGCTCTGGTATCCGGTAAGATTTTTGAGCCATTCAAAACATGAACGCAAGACGCGCAATTTCCAGGGAGTTTTACTCGGCTGACTAGGTCGAAGTGTTTCTTCGCGTTCTAGAGTACTATGAGGGTATTCTGTTTTTGACCACCAATCGGGTTGGGACATTTGACGAAGCCTTTAAATCTCGTATCCACATGTCGCTCTATTATCCGCCACTCTCAGAGCATCAAACGGCAAGAATTTGGATTAGCCACATCAGGAAGGTGAAGGCGAACGGTGTACAGATTGATGAACAAGAGGTCCGGAAATTTGCGAGGCAAATATGGATCATCCAAGGACTTCCAGAGCGAGGGCCTGTTTGGAACGGGCGTCAGATTCGCAACGCTTTCCAGAGTGCTATTGCACTTGCAGGCTACCACACCCAGACGGGGCAGCAAATTCATCTGACAGTGGAGAACTTCCGTCGCGTCGGAGAGGTTTCGGATCAGTTCAGTCGGTATATCTACAAGACGAAGCTTAGTCAGACGGATGCAGACCTCAACCGCTCTTTTGGAATTCGTCGTGACGAGTTTGGGCGTGACCCGGGCACACGGCCAGCGGCTCCCTGGGTAGACAGTCAAGTTGTTGATCCGTTCTTACCAGCCAACTCTGCTCCCCAGCCGCAGAGACCGAATGTGCAGTTTGGAGGATCGACGCAAGCGGCAGGAATTCAGGCCGTCGCGCAAGACCCTTTTCATCAATCGGCGTACTCGGCCTCTCCTTGGCAAACAACAACGCAGCCCCATCAGCAACAGCATCAGCAACAGTCGCATCAAGGATTCCTACAACAGCAGCCTTCGTCTGCGCAGATACAGGTCCCAAGCCAGCAGATGTTCCCTCCGCAGCAAGGGGTTCAGCCTCAAATACATCAACAGTCACAGCCGACGTATCCTCAAACTGGCCTTGTGGCGGGTTCCGTCCCCAACAACTATGAACAGCAAACGCCTCGGTCATTGCCTCACCTGGCGGAGTATGGCACCACCCATCAACCAGCCTCTCATACACAGATGCCCGGCAACCCCAATTTCGAGGGCCCCACAGGTTCATCGCCATGGGAAATGTCTTAATCGCGCCCGATAGACTGGAAGGTGGTGGGCTGAACGTTAGACTCCGTTTGAGGGGGGACGTGTCAGAAATGCATAGTCAGAGGATCCCGAGTGATTTCATTCGTTCGCGGAAAATTCAATGCCTCAACAGCAAAAGTTTCTTTAGCATTCACAAGTATCTTTCACCTATGCTATACGTATTGAATCATTACACCTTGGCGTCATCCTAGCGCGTGTACCGAGTATTTTGCGGGTAACTTTGCACCATACATACCTCACATACAAGATGATGAAAACACATTCCCGCATCAAATCAAACACATAGGGGCAATCGAAACATATGATTAATCCCAGCCCGCGATCATTATCTGTTGACTAAGGCTAAATAAGATAAGTAATATATACCCAAGGTCAGCAAGTAGTCCGTGGGCGGCAGCGCGAGACTTGCGTACGAAGGTTTTTCCCAGCTGGGAACGCGGTCATCTGCTCAATATTGTTAATGTAGCCAGGCCTTCCATAATATTATTTATCTAATGGAATTCTACATGAAAGCATACTTGATCAATGGCCTGAAAAGGGCGACTGTGCGAACACTCTTGAAATATGTTCGCGTATGACTGCGCGGCCTGTCGACATAGTATTTCACTAAAGAAACTTGAACCCTTTGGGAATGTCAAATTCCTCTGGATGATTTGTCACCTAATCTTGCCTTTCACCTCATGCCAAAGCGTTACGGGATATCTCATCTTGGTCCTTGACCTTACCCTGCATGAGTAGCGAGATGGAGGCTGAAGTAAGATACGCGTAAAAAAAGAAAACAGGAAGCAGACTTAAATCAATAGCTCGCAAAGCGCACTTCACTGCGCCTTGTCAACCTAGAAGAGGCGAGTCGACATGCAGGGGGATAGGGCTCGGGCAAAGTATGCGCTTCAGCCGTATAGATGTGCGAATTATAGCACTAGGTATTGTCGTATTACGTTTGGTTGCTACTACTTGGAATCCATAACCTCAGATGGTTTTCCTTTGCTTCCTATCACTGTCTCTTTAGTATCTCCCCATCCTAGGCCCCTGCGGGTCAGGTGTTGCTCTCGAGATGGTATATTCCGTTGTGACGACAATCTTGTTGGGGTCAACATCAGGTTGATGGCGCCTAGCTCTCATGGATTGCCGATTGCTGTTGACGGGCTCTGCTGCAACTTCCGCAATGTTCGATCCTTGAGGCAAGTAAGGGCTCTGAGGCTTATCGGTAGAGCCGATTGAGGCTTCCTCGCCACCAGCAGTGTTCTTCTCCACACTGCTAGAGACTATGTGCTCGTCTGAGCCCCATGTAGTCTCATTTGGGATGGAGAGAGGGTGGCTTCGGGGTCCCTGCTTGCCTGGGTAGCTGCCCAAGCGGTACCCCTGGCTATCGCCCATAGCGCCGCTCTTGTTGGTACTAGCATTACGGCTCTTGTCGATAACGCTTTTGAAGAGGGGATAGACCATGGGCATGTTGGTAAGGACCACGGAAACGAAAGATTCTCGGACAGACCAGTAGCCTGATTGAGCGGGATCGGTGTCGCCAACCTGGGAAAGCAATTTGGTTAGTGACTCTCGGAACCAGCGTGGACCGGGTTCATTTACTGTAAGGATCGAGACGCAACGAAGGATACCGAACGTCATCTCAAGGAAGCCACCACTGAACATGATCATGAGAGTGACCTTCTTCCTCCAGGGAAGATGGGACTTCCACACCATCTGTGAAATGTCGAGTCAGCTCATACTTCGATAATCCAATCAACTACGTCTCAGTTGGGAACATACCGGAAGAGGAATAGCCATGAGGTAGAAGTCTGTTACCGTGTTCTGCTGCAGTATTAGCGACCTCATGTAGAGAAAATATGGCGTGATGGCACCTTAAGTGTAGTGAACTTACCATGGCCATGACAAAGGTAGTTTGCAATATAGAAACGGCAGGCATACACGAGTCTTTCTTTGGTTAGTTCAGTTAATCTACGATATGATGCTTGATACTTACTCCCAGGTGAAGGGTTGATCTGCCATTGATTCTGAAACGGAATGCATTTCATGAATGCGACCAACAGACATGCAACGTAGGTTATGGGCATGATAATCATAGCCCAGAATATGACTCGCTTCATCTTGTGAACCCCATCACTGGCAGATGTCAGCACCAAAGCGAACGATCTAGAAAAGGGTTTGCAGGTTCGCTCACGTAAGACGAGAGTAGTAAACTACCCAACAAGCCTTCAGTAACCATAGCAGAGTTGTGTATAGTAGAAGGCCAATGACATGTGTCTTGGAGCCGTTGACACGCAAGAGCCACTCTGGCGATGTTGGATCTAGAGCAGCTCGTTGGTCGTCGGTCATGCCATTGTTGGCAAACCCTTTCCAGTACGCAACGACAAAATATGCCGCCACTGATTCCGCAGTATATACCAGCTAGCAGATGCCTTAGTCAAATGTTAGTTAACTTGGAGACGATTATGCTTACGATTGCCAGAAGCATCAGAGCATCATCCCAAGCAAACTTCCGCCACCCCAATGTAGAGGCTCGGCTGTAATATCGTAATCCGACCACGAGATAGGCAGCACCCTGCAAGCCCCAGACCTCCTGAATGAACGCATTTGCTTCGGCGGCGGACATTTTGTCAACGAACAATAACCTTAATGAAAAGAACCGCCTGAGGTAGAAACAGAAGAAGCATAGCCGGACCCAGCAGCTAAGTCGATGAAAGGAGATCAAGCGGGAAACACAAAGTGTAAATAACTACCCGAAGAAGACTTTGAACAGAAACCGAATCGATGGAACTGGACCTGTAGCCCCGTGCGTCTGGCAGCTTGAATCGCTCATGTGCCCTTGCTCTTCTTTCTCCCTGAGGACCTTGTGCTTGTTCCCTGCCCGGTGCTCCTGGTTCAGTGCTCCCAATATCCAGCAAGGACCATGCCGATCGTGAGGCCATGGCAGGGGAAGGTCTGAATTAGGTGCTTATGATGGACATTTCACCTCTCCTATAGGACTGAAGGTGGTCAAGGCACGAACGGTGTCAATGTACGGACTGCTCCGTCAACCGTTTACTCTCACCCCCAAAGGATCAGGGGGTTTTCGTCACGGAGCCAGCTCCGCTTTCGATAACGACAGTGGCATAAGAGAAGTACCCCAGTTGATTCCCACTCTGAGTACCACACGATGAGAATCAAACCGTCCGATCGAAGGTTTGCTCGGGGAACCGGAGAGCTAGCCGGGAACATTGGTTCTCCTTAGGGCAACAAGTTCAAACGTTAATCGCTCCATGCTGTTGGTCGAAAATATGACCTGTGGCGCTACGCCACCACGATTTCTGAACCAATCCATACTGGAGCTAAGTTTTAGAGAGTTCACTAATCGAGTCCCGTCAATGGAAATTCTCCATCAAAACTGGCGGACTGTGACGGAAGAATGTCATTCATCATTAGTGATGTCTTGAACCCTGGTGGCTGGACTAGCATAGTCTTCAACATCCAATGTGGCTCCCCTGCAGTTGTCCTTGGTATATTGCATGAAACGATATACTACAAGTTCCCATGAACCTGGAGCCGTCTTCCCGCGTTGCGCGCTTCCAGTGTCTGCAGCCGACTTCGCTTGCGGTGTAAGAAGGATATACCGCACTTCTGTTCTGTCATATTCTGAATTCCTTCGCGGGCCAATGGAACTGTAGGAATGTCAACCTCAACTTCTTGGCCGCATCGAAACCCTGTCAGGAACCCAGTCGCTCGGATGCCTGAGGTGCAGCATATCAATCCATCTTCTTTCGGAGCCCCGGTCGTAGGAGCACTGATCAACGCCTCGTAATGTCGGGAGCTATTCACCCCTTTTGTAACGCTGGGTTACCATTTGGAGTGTTTTCGCCAGAGTGTCTCCATTGTGATAATACAATGCGACGAGTCATTTTTAGTTCCAACGACGGCAATGAGTGGTAATCAAGCTGTAAAAAGGTGGTAGTTGTGTGGATACAGACGTGGCATAGCACGAATCAAGATACTGTTTATGCGAGAATCTGCAGATAATTCTGCTCAGGGTTTGTCCTCCATTGTGGAAACGACTGCCCAAGGGTTCCGGGGTTCGATGATCCATTTAATGGAGAGACAACATCGTCTGCCCCCGAATAAGCGTTACAATGGACTCTTAACTCGCGCAACAGTACGCCCGTCAATCTGGGCCTTGTAGCGGCAATAGTCCGACCGTTATCGAATCGCTAGAAGAGTAATCACTGACATCCTTCGATGTGCCTGTCCCATAATCTCGTTTCTGCGATGCAGAGATATCGCCTCAAAGGCTCAACCAGCCATTCAACGTAACTGCCGGTGGGATCGCCGATACGCCGCGGGCCCAGGATGCATCACCGTCCACAATTTATGGTTACCATTTGCTTTTCTTGGCCCAACAAAGGACTCACCACTAACGGGCGGGCTAGTGGGGGAGCCGTTCCGTGGTCTCCACGGGTTGCGAATCCGTCTCGCCAACCTCGGCGAGAAGCGCACATTCCTCCAGTCGCATCTAGGCTGGCCGTTGGGGACGATATCACCTGAAGCACATCGCTTAGCCATTTCCTCGACCATGGTGTTGGCAAAAAGAAATACTGCCTGGCGCAGACATGTTACCAGCCAGCTGGTGGCGAGATGAAATGTCAGATATCAATTATCCGGGGAATCCGGCATGAGCCGGGCCCCAAGACCTTTGCAGCAATGTTAGTGCAGTCAAGTTTGTCTCCCATCCAACGGTTCGGTTTGCCGTTGGAACTCGAATGAACTCATTTATCATGTTTGCTTGCTGAGCGCTGCGTAATTTCCCCACCTAGGTAATTTGCAAAGAGACAATCTCCTTGCTCTGTTGGATTCAGGCCATGTATCATCCAGCCGGTCCTCGTCGTCGTAGTCTTGATGGATCATCAACGAGCCCCCACGTTTAACGGCGCGCCATTCCAACCGTTGGAAGAGGGCCGGCCCCATTGTCCATATGAATGGCGCACGGACAAGCATCATGCTTTTCCATTTCGGTCCTGACTCGAGCCAGAAAGGGGAACAGATCGTCCCCTCCCATGACCCCAGGGCCCTTTCAACACCGAGCCCTTGTCGGCGGGACGTTCCCGGGCGCTGGAGTGACGAGCCCGCTGCCCAAGGTCCCACCAGCGCGCCGTTGAAGACCCCCGCAGTCTTTTTGGAGGTGGTGGTGGTAGCATCCTACTCCTCTGTCGCATCAAATCCATCGTTCGACCAACCATTGCACCCATTGGGCTGATCTGGCAGAGAGGAAGAGCTCATTAGATGGGAGTGTGGAGGTCCAGCCAAGACTGCTCATCAAGGGGTCTCTCGAAGACGAGTCAAGATGCTGACGGACCCCGCGACTTGAGCATATGCGAACCATCCCGCTTCGTCTTGTCTTCAACGCACAGCTCACACTCTCTTGTCTTGATTCCCTCGCATTCCTACACTCCCTAAACGCCAAACTTTAATACTCAAGTTTGTAAACGCCGTGCCGGATCAAGCCAAGCAAACATGGCCACTCCAGAATCGAACATAGATGTGTAAGCGTCCTCACCAAAAGTATCATCCATAGGCATGAACAACATTTCACTAACGTTACTTCTCATAGGCTCATCATCGGTGCCGGCCCTGCGGGGTAAGTTCAAACAGCGTGACATGACGCTTTCTTTTCTCTAAACCCTTGATGCCTAGCGGACTGACGAGGGTGAATGCCGGCACAGGTTGATGGCAGCCGCCTGGATGGCGCATTGCGGCGTCAACGCTCGCATTGTTGACAAGAGAAACACAAAGATCTTTTGCGGCCAGGCCGATGGACTCCAATGTCGCAGTCTGGAGATCTTTGACTCGCTTGGCTTCGCGGATCGGGCCTGGAAGGAAGCCAATCACATGATTGAGGTATGGATGCTAAGTACCACTCTGTTACTGAATGTCTCACGCTGACTTGGTCTATCAGATTTGCATGTGGGTATGTGACCATCATCATCACCATCATCCCAAGGCAGTTGGCAAAAACAAATACTCACAATTCCAAGAACCCGGGCAATGATGGTGTAATTCGCCGCAGCGACAGAATCCCAGACACCATTGTTGGCCTCTCGCGCTTCCAGCAGATTGTCCTCCAGCAAGGCCGCATCGAGCGATTTTTCCTGGAGAACATCAAGAAGCACTCCAAGGATGCGATCAAGGTCGAGCGGGGGGTCCTCCCCGAGTCTCTGGAGATTGACCTGTCCAAAGTGGACGATGACGCCGCTTACCCGGTGACTGTCAAGCTTCGGACCCTTAACGAGGAAGAGTCTACCCCTCCTCAAGCTGCCAACGCGAGCAAGATCCCTGACGGCCTGTTCCGGAGCAACTTGATCCGGGACGATGACGAGGCGGACTTGATCAAGAAGGCCCAGGATAGAGCCGGCGCGAGTGAGATTGTCCACGCCAAGTATGTCATTGGGTGTGATGGGGCCCGCAGTTGGACTCGGAGAGCTCTTGGGTTTGAGCTGGATGGAGAGGCTACTGATTTCATCTGGGGTGTCATGGACATCATTCCCATCACTGACTTCCGTGTGTTATTCCCCTAGACATTTTGACGTGGATATGAGGCTGATACCTGAAGCTACGCAGCTGATATCCGCATGCGCTGTGCCATTCACTCCGCCGAGAACGGCAGTTTGATGGTCATTCCCAGAGAGAATAAGCTTGTCCGCCTCTACATCCAGTTGAAGGAGGTCGCCCCCGACGCGTCTGGAAGAGCAGACCGCTCCAAAATCACACCCGAGCTCATCTTCGGCGCAGCGCAGAAGATTCTGAGCCCGTACAAGATTGAGTATGAGTACTGCGACTGGTGGACCGCATACCAGGTGAGTTGCCTACCGGGCGCATTTTACTATCATCATGGCCTTTGCTGATAAGTTGCAATAGATCGGCCAGAGAGTCGGTACCGAGTACGATGCCCACGGCCGTGTCTTCCTCGCCGGAGACGCTGTACACACCCACTCCCCCAAGGCCGGCCAGGGCATGAACGTCTCTATGCAAGACACATACAACCTCGGCTGGAAAGTTGCGCTGGCCGCCAAGGGTATCGCGAAGCGCGACATTCTGAATACCTACCAGAGCGAGCGACGCCGCGTTGCTCAAGACCTCATCGAGTTCGACCACCGCTTTAGCCGTCTCTTCTCCGGCCGCCCCGCCAAGGACGTTTTGGACGAGGAGGGCGTCAGCATGGAGGTCTTCAAGGATGCATTCCTCAAGGGCAACTTATTTGCGTCTGGTCTCTCTGTTGATTACGGTGCCAGTAACCTGGTCGTCAAGGCAGGCGATTCGCTGAAGCAGGGTGATGGCAGCAAGGTGCTCAAGTCTGTGGCCTCCATTTCTGAGGAGGACTTCAAGAAGAAGCAGGCGCTGGCCACTGGTCTGCCCGTCGGTATGCGCTTCAACAGCTTCAAGGTCTTGAACCAAGCCTGCGCTCGCCCTTGGCACTTCCAGGAGATTCTCAAGGCCGACGGTCGTTTCCGCGTCGTGCTCTTTGCGGGCAACATTCTTGATGCGTCGCAAAAAGCCCGCGTAGACAACTTCTGCGTGGCTCTCGACGCCCCCGACAACTTCCTCCGCAAGGTTACGCCTGCAAAGGCTCCTATCGATAGCGTCATTGAGGTTCTGACCATTCACTCTGCGAAGCGCACCGATACGGAACTGCTGAGAGACTTCCCCGATATCTTGCATCCTTTTGATTCGCATACTGGCTGGGACTACAATAAAGTGTACGTCGATGACGAGAGCTACCATGAGGGCTTTGGAGATGCCTACAAGAACTATGGCGTCGACAAGCAGAGGGGTTGCGTTGTGGTTGTACGACCTGACCAGTATGTTGCGTGGATTGGTGAGCTCGAAGACTTTGATGATTTGCAAAAGTACTTTGAGGGCTGTCTGGTTCTGGGCCAGCCCGCTCCCAATGGGGTGAATGGCACGAACGGAACTTCATTGCCAGTGCGTTAAGTTGGCTCAGAGTCGTCGACAGTTGTATTCAAGTGGCTGTTAGTAGGTCGTTTAGATAATGTATCACCAATACCTACAAATGCCTACATCGGAGACAATAATAAGTCGTTGGTGAACAGACTACATAAACCTTTTGCTCCTGAAATTTGACCGAGAAGACCGCATTGCTCCCGTGCCCAAACAATATCATCAAATGTCAGGTTGGCTTCTGGACAGAATTTCAAACTTAGTTCGCCGTCGAAAGAATACAGGCCTCATGCTACGTCTGGGTACAAGCCATCGCATAGTGGTACCTTGCAAATTGACATGCAACTTTTAATCGGCAACAAAGCCTTTCTATGCCTACTTACAGATACCTCATGATTACCAAATTCAATCTTATTCTTTCCATAACTGGGAACCATCTTGAACAAATGCTACAAGAGTGACAAAAGTAAGCAGTGCCAAATTCAACAATGCCCAACATTCGGAATGTTCCGGGCCTGCTACCCGTGCGTTGGCTGATCAGCTTCAGGGGCTCTAGCTCTGTTAGCTTTGTCTCACTACAAGGCGCCGCTCCCCTCACTCTAACATTGAACCTTATAAGCTCCCCGCTGTGGGGATTATTGGGCTAATAGTGAAGAATGAAGATGTCAAACGGTACTCCAGAAAGCGTTGAACTGGGATCAATCCTTCGTGTGTGGGCAGTGGTTTAGTTGAGCTGTTGTACAAGTCACCTGAGTTGAAAACCATGTCAGTCTACCTACCATAGGTACTCCGTAGCGAGTATCGCTCAATAACGCGCTTCGGTGATGGTCACCCAAGGAATGCTAACAGCATAGCAAGTCTCCCTGGAAAGCGGTTCTTTCACAATGTTCGTCGCAACTATGCTCCGGATTAGTACTCAAATGCTAATCCATATTGAGACTCAGACCTCTTCATGTCCCTGGTGTCATTCAAGCGCGACGCCTGCCATCCGATGGCCAAGACGGCACTCCCCCTGTTGCAGAACGCCGCTAAAGTATCACAGACCCTTAGCCTTAATCAAAAGGACTATGCTTCGCGGGAGATGTGCGCTGCTTCCCACTCGCCCTAGAGTATCATATTGAAACAGCCTCGGTCAATTGCCTCATTTCTCATTTAAAAGAAACGCCTCGATATTGTTCGGAGAATTAGACGCCGCTTTCGACTCGAAACAGTGGGCGATTTTCTATTTAGTCGACCTTCATCACAAAGCTTACTCTTAAGATCGGGGGAAACTTGGAACTGGCCACAGCGCATGGATGATTCAAGCCACCCGCACTGACCGAAATCATCACACCCTCAACTCCCAGGGGAATTCCCGTGCCTGGCCCTGGTGTAGAACTCATCCAGAGCACTTGAGGGAGCTAGGATCTAGAGCAGTCTTGCCTCTCCCGCCGCCAGCATCACCACACGAGGCGCTTCCCGTTCAACATCCCAGCCTGGTGCCGCTTCCCGCTCCACCCCCAGGATTATTAGCTGAGTTTACTAGAATTGATCAACATCCATCAAACAACCATGCCCCCCACTAATAGCGCAAGTATGTGCAAATGAGGAAAACGCTGCGACCTCGGTTTGTCTGAGCGCTCATTCCATGTCGACTTGGACGTTGAGTCTCTCTGAACTGCCCAAGGTCAACTTCCACATGACGCTATTTTCAGTGTTCAACCATGTCGCGTTACTCTTAGCTCAGTAAGCTTACCTTTCCATCGGTGATTTGCAGCCTTCCTTGAGTGTTGACAAATGTTTATCCCACCTGGGAGTGGCAAGACAGTGGCCAGCCAGATCTGTTGATACATGTATATAAGTCGAGAACTTCTTCCGCAAAGTTATTGCCATTCTTCTTCTCATCATCGCATCACAGCCTCAAACATTCCTTCATTCTTCTAAATTCCGAAGCAAGTCTTCCATTCTATTCTTGGCACGAAGCTAAACATTCATTTACACTCTCATTCCTTTCAACTATCTCCATCATTTAGATCAGCATTTCAGCGACACCAAGTCATATCCACAATCTTTCAAAATGAAGGGCACAGTTCTCGCAACCTTTCTCGCCGCCTTCTCGGCTGGCGCCTTAGCCCACAAAGGCGGCTATGATAGCCCTACTGAAACCACTGGTGGCCAATCCGGAGGAAAGACCGGCGGCAAATCTGGTGGCGGCGGTGGATTCGGACTCCCTGGCTCCGGCAGCGGCAGCGGCAGCGGCGGTCTCAGCGGCATTCTTCCCACTGGGCTACCCATCGGAGGCGGCAGTGGAGGTGGAATTGGCGGCCTCCCAGGCGGCATTGGTGGTGGTAGCGGTGGTAGCGGTGGTCTCACTGGCCTTCTCCCCACTGGACTGCCCATCGGAGGAAGTAGCGGAGGAGGTAGCGCAGGTGGCATTGGTGACATCCTTGGCGGTGGCAAAGGAAATGTCCTCCCTACCGGGCTTCCGATCGGCGGTGGTAGCGATGGAGAATACGGAGGTGGTGGCAGCGGCAGTGGCAGTGGCGCCGGCGGTATTGGTGGTATCCTGCCTACTGGCCTTCTCGGTGGCGGTGGAGGAGGCCTCGGTGGTCTTCCTGGCGGCGGCGGCAGCGGCAGCGGCGGCATTGGAGGTATTCTTCCTACCGGTCTTCCCCTTGGCGGCGGAAGCGGCCTTGGAGGTCTCCCAGGTGGAACCGGCAGTGGCAGTGGTAGCGGCGGCATTGGAGACATTCTCCCCACCGGCCTCCCTAGTGGTGGTGAGGGCGGTATTGGCGGTCTCCTGGGAGGTGGCGGTGACAAGGGCCTCGTTCTTCCTACTGGCGGAGGCGAGGGAGGCATCGGCGGCCTTCTTGGTGGTGGTGGAAATGGCGGCATTGGCGGTGCCCTTCCTACCGGCCTTCCTATCCCGGGTATTGGCGGCAGTGGTAGCGAAAGCGGAAGCGGAAGCGGCGGCCTCCCCATTCCCGGCATCGGAGGCAGCGGTAACGGAGGAAGTGGGGGCATCGGCGGCATCATCCCCACTGGCCTCCCCATTCCCGGAATCGGCGGCAGCGGAAGCGGCAGCTCTCCCTCCGGCTTCGAAACCCGGATCCGCACCACCACTGACAGCGGTGATGGTTATAACGCTCCTGCTGCTACCCCGGCCCCTGAGGATTGGTAATTGTTTGAGCACTTACACTAGTGGATCTAGGTAGTTATAGATGCTTCTCAATTTGGGTTACAGCCTTTTCTGAAATACACAAGAACAGATCAACAATCTCCATGAGCTTCCGCTCCAGCCGAGGCAGTTCTCTCAAGCCGAAATCTGAGTACGCATGACCTCCAATGGTGCACCTCCACTTGTGTTACCGACGACATCTTCATCCGCTTCTCCAGCCAGGCTGGATCCATCATCGCCATAGTCAGCCACCTGATCCTTCTCGCTTTCGGCACGAGCGTTCAGTTGCATGCCGTCTATCTGAGCGGCAGCTTCGCTCACGCTCGTGGTGTCACTGTATGGGTAACCTGCTAAGCCCTCCGGCAGTGTGGTGAGAGTGTTCGAATCATGGTTTCTTCCCTTGGGCCGCTTCTCTTCCAGTGTCCTCTTCACATCATCATGCACGCTCTCCATAATCTTTTCAAGCAATCGCTGAGTCTTGGCGTCGAGGACGCCAGAGTCGGCACCCTCAAAGACTCCCGGGATACGCCAGTTGGGATACAGGTTGTAGTGGGTCTTCCTCACTTGCATTCGATCGGGGTGCGCGTCAAAATAGTAGTCGCAGAGCCTGCAAGTAGGTTTGCTGCTGCCAATGTACTTCCAACTGTTGAAGTAGTCCCTAGGATGCTGTAGATCTCGGCTCAACAGATAGCTGTGAACGAGTACTTCAGCATGAACACGCGGCTTGAAGCTGCGCTTGCCGATCTGCCTCTGGATGATGCTGTCAAGACCGAACTTTTGCATCTCGACGGCGTGCTGAAGGAACTCGTGTTGCTCCTCATCATCATCTGGAATCATGTTCTTGATTATGGATGCCGCGGTGATGGACATGGATTTCGTCAATGGTCTTGGGGCATCTTCGCTTGACGGAACAGCTGTGAACTTGAAGTCTTGAAAAAGCTTCGGTAGGCGCTCATGAGTGCCAATGATGGCATCTGTCGCATGGCGGAAGGAGAGCAGTCGTCCGAGATAGTGGCGCAACTCGGACCAGTATTTCGACTCAGAAATTTCTCCATCCTTGGCGTTTCTCATGATGGCCTGATCGATCTGAGTGTTCTTGATAGCCACAACTCCTTTGATCAGCTTTTCACAATCACTCAGAACTGTACTCGGCTTAGCTATGCTATTCATTCCACTGAATCATTTTACCGCACTCTCTTGGTTGACCTACACTTGTCTTGAACGTTCCCAGATGTAAGATCCCGTGGAAAGTCTGTTTTGTTCTTCAGGACCAGGAGTTCCGACTTGAGGACTATAACGCACTAAACGTCAGTTTCATATAACAAGATCGATTAGAGACAGGTCTTTTACCTTCCGGGGCCCCCCGTCTTTCGCAGTCGTCAATGCAAGCGTCCAGATGTTTGCCAACATTGTTCAGGTAGATGTCTAGACGTGGCAGATTGAACAATAGTATCTTCCAAAGGACCTGCTTGGCGAGAGGCTTGGGCTTGAGACCAGTAGGGTTCTTTCCCACCAAAGTAAGTAGGTCTTCGGCGAATTGCTGAGTCTCAGACAGCTCATCGGCGTCTCTGTGGTTAGAACCGAAGACGTACTCTGGGCCGTCTTCTCCCTCGAGGACGGTGAATGAAGTGACTGTCTGACCGCCACGTTCATTGTCGCATACCTGGGCCAGCTTTTCCACAAACGAGCGGAAGACCTGGAACTGACTGGCAAGGGAATCGTTCTCTACCTTCGGAGTACCATTGAAGACGTCTTGGCCGGCACGACAAGCTACTTGTAAACCCTGCTCAAGAACGATGGGTTCGTAGAAGAGTTGGCACCGGGCTACGCCAGCGGGTTGTACCTCGGGAGTGGCTTGTTGGTTCATTGTTGCGGCGGTCTTCAAGTAAGACGAGTAGCTTGGGGAGCTAGGACTGGAAAGATGTAATCGATTTGTCCAGAAGAGATCAGTGTGCTGATGGATGAAAGATAGTTTCGAGATATACAACTGAAGTGGTCGAGGATCCGGGCCTTTTATATCTGGAAGACGCTTCTCCTCCACAATTTCATCATCACGGGCATGTCCAATCATTGACTAATTAGTACACACCAACGACAAAGGGATATACTCCCGACATGTCAACGTTTTTCCATTTTCACTGACGCAGCACCAACATCGATTCCATGAACATCTACATGCTTCGTGATATCGCATGATGCTGTTGGAAGGACACTCAGGTTATCCAATCGCGTGTAAGCCCCAAAATCAGGTCAGTGGCTACTAGTCCTGAGAGCCTGCCTGAGCCCCCTGCTACAGCGGAGCCACGCCCATTTCACGACCCGAGGTAATGAGGCGGTCGAACTTGGGTCGCCAAGCAGGAGTATCCGCAGTGACAGGCTCAACATCATTACCACTGACCAGAGAAACCATTCGCTCATTCCTGCATTAGCGTGAAGTTCAAATGTGAGGTTTGGCTATCCACACCTGGCTTAGGGACAGATATGGGCATATACGACATGCAGAGAGATTCAGATGTCTATCTCCAACATCTGGCAAGGCTTTGAAACACCGGCATTGTACTGTGTACATGGTATTGGCATGGCCCTACAAATAAAATAAAAAGAAAAGTTCACTACCGGTGTGGCTACATCTCTCGGTGCTCATGCTGGAAGTCGAACTCGGAGCCTGTCGTCGAGCAGGCTGTGCTGATTGAGTGTTGATCTTCTCTCCCCTCTCCAGCCAGAGTTTGATCGGAGGAACCAACCTAGGAATGCGCCTGATGACAGGAACTCAGTTGATATGGCCTATATGGGGTCATTTTCACGGTAAATCCAGTTAACCTTGAACCAAATACACATACATGGCGTCACGGGATGATTCACCGAATCTGGCGCGACTCAAATGCAGATTGGCAGGCAGCCGGCAGGCAGCCGATGTCAACTGTCGTCATTGACAGTTCGCCGCATATGTCGGCAGATCTTGGGCCATCCAACATGAGATATGACACCGAGAAATGCTAGCAAGTCTCCCCTGCTTCCTAACCTGCATCTGCACGAATTACAGTATGTCCCACTCACATAAGCTGAGAAACGATGAAACCCTCGTCGGTCGGCCTCCCGCATCGTGGAGGGGTCGAGTTCCGACCTATTCTGTTTTACTCGTTCTTTTTCAAGTCACTGAAGCTGGGTAAAAGGAAGTAATTACTTCTCTGCAAGGAAAGGTGCATCATCAAATGAGATGGAAAACTTGTTTATCGAGCTGATGTCATGTGATTGTTCCTCTCTTTTGGGCATTGAATCCACTGATCTGAAATAGTATACAGAAGTACAGTTTGTGCTTGAAGAGGAAGCATGTTACTAGCTGTAAATGCACTTTTCCATGTATCACCCATAGGCAATTACATGTACGTAGCTAACTATGAGATTGTCCCACAAAATGGCTTTAGCTCGTGTGCAATAAGTACTAATGAGTTCAAGGTAGTGGAGGTATTGAACCAATGGCCGTGATCAATGACAGCTACGCTGTGGTTTGGGATTGGACTCAGCTACGAGTGTCCTGAGATATTCCGCCATTTCCAGACCATCAGCCAGCCACGAGATTGCCCCTCAAATTGACCGTGGACTCTACTAACGTTAGGAGATCACATTTGCCATTCCGCGCGTCGCGCTCATGACCTGATCCAGACATGCAAACACTATCACATACATATGTGGACTGAATACTTCTGTTCATTTCAGCTTCATCAGGCCAGAACTTGGACATTGGCTCATTGTTTGCAGTGACAAGATTCTATGCTCATAGTGTCATCTTACTGCGGCCGAAAATATTGGCGCTAGCTTTTGGTGTTTAAATCAGCTTGCCTGGAACATTTCCCTCAATCAAGCAGGGCCTGTAATAGTTATAAACGCTTGCGGTCTAGCAGTAAGATTTGGCAAGGGGTCTAGTCGTGGGTCAAAAGTAAAAGCTTGCGACTCAGCTGAAGATCAAGTAAAGTATCGTTTGATAGACTGATAAGCGAGAAGCTATAGAAACCGTTAAGATCTACATCTTAATCTTAGTCTTGTTCATTGATACCATACCTTTTAGTTTGTGAACGTACAAAGCCAAGCTAAGTCCCATACAAACTATCAAGTCGAATCCATCGTTACGGTCATAAATGTCGATTCAGGCATCACATCAAAATGGAACAAGAAAATGAAGTCAAGCCTTTCACAGATATTCGAGACGTCCTCTACCATTGAATTCAAAATGATGGCGCAACAAAGAATAATGGGCTAGTAAGAGGCGACCCTGTACTGAACACAATCCAAATTGCTTCTCGAGAGAAGGGTGGCTGGGAGGGTTGGCGCAAGTCGGAATCGCCGACTTCATCAAGTCAAGCTACACAAATCTGAGGGTTACTCGTGAGGACGGCGTCTATGATGGCAATACCCAGCGATCAGATCTCGTCCTGGAGGGCTCCGGTATCCGCACCATCATCGAGCTCAAGTGCGAGCGCGGCGACGTGCCCAGTCCAAAGTGGATTGTGGACGAGATTATCAAAGACGCTGGAAAGCTTCAGCAGACGTTGAAGGACAAGTTTCGGCCAGTCATATGTTACGCAGTCGGCATCGCAGCCACGAAGGATGCAGACAAAGAGATCCAGAATGCTTTCAATGCTAGCAGGATTCCGCGCACAGGCTTTTATTGTAAGGAATCCAAAATCTATGTGTTCTAAGTAGAAGAGGCATGTCGCCTGACGGGAAACGTCGTTGCCAGAGAATTAGCGCTAAGTTGCCCCGGAGTTGCATCAACCTCGAGTTTGTCCCCTGATGCAATAACACACAAATAATGACACACGTCAATGACGCGACCATTTTCTGGAAAGACCTTAAATGATAGGCCGGGTAATGAATTTTCGAATGACTACATGTTTGGTTAGGGCAGTGAGTAATATTAACGCACCCCGATCTTACAAGCCGCGAAGTAGGTATGTGGAAAGCCCGAATCATGGCGTCAGAGTTGCGAAGAGCCCAGGACGTGTCAACATATCCTAAGACTATGTCTCGTGTTTGTGGCGAAGGACGCGAATCCGTAGTGTGAGAGCAGGCGCTGCGAACGTACTGCCAGTCAGAGACGCCTCCAAAGCCACCTCCGCCAGTCACCATGAATCGTGACAATATTGTACCTTGCATCATGTTCCGAAAGCAAGTCTCGAACGCTCAAGATAAACGATAGAACGTCTGTGTAATAATATCTGAGTGAAGTTTTGTGTTGAGGATTCCATTCAGATTGGGGCATAGGAAGATTTTCGAAATATTCTACAATAATATAGCTTACTATTCAATTAGGATCAATGAAGATTTCGAGAGAGGTACTGCTGAATGTGCCAAGCCGTATGTTACAATGAGTAGGATGGGACGGATTGGAATAATGTCTTAAATGGTATGGACATGACCAGTACAGTAGGTCGCTAACATTTTAATTAGTACTTATGAGGGTGATCATGTGTATTCCAAGATTATATAAACCACAGGGTATTCCAATGTAAGTCACACTTGCAGTTGTCGAAGGTGCGTAACAAGTACATAGGGTAACGTTCATAAGTCATTTTCCTAAGTCTCCCAACTGTAAGTATTGGAAGCACATTCATCTAGCTAATTACAATGATTCAACCACAACACCCAATGCCGCACTGGCTTCCTTGATCTTCTCCTCCTGCCAAGCAGCACTCTCCTCCGGTAAGACAAAACTTGAGAAGGCCTCGCCAGCATTTTGAATGAGAGTCTCGATACCCGGGCCGTTCGTGAAGACGGTGGATCTCACAAACCGAGAGCCGTACTCCAATGTGAACGCTTGTCCTGCAGAGACCAGGAGGGTCTGGCCCTCCCGGACCTCTGTCCATGAGCCAGACTCCTTGAGCTTGACTCTCAGGAGACCCTCCTGGACACAGAAGCAGTGGTCCACCTCCGGGAACGTCAACCACCGAGCAAGCGGGGACTTCTCATATAGCTTGGAAGACTCGAGGCTGGTGATGGCGAACTTGCCGCTGCACTGGGAGGCGTTGATGAAGGGTCTGGAAAGCACACCACCCAGGATGTATCTGGGGCCGGTGTTGGCGCGGAGGAAGTACGGCTCCAAGGGGCCGGGGAGAACATTTTCTGACTCTTGCCAGTCTGCGACTTCAGGAGGGGTGTAGTTGCGCTCAAAGTTTACGTCGAACCGATCCTTTGCGGCCATGACCTTGGGAATCAACAGGCTCTTCAGGTCACGGTTGTCATTTTCTGGCACAATGATACCCTCATACTGCTCCGCGACGTAGCGGAAGAAGTCAACCCAGTCACCCGGTGCAACCAGCCCGAGGGTTTCTGTGTGAGGCCCGAGAAGCTCAGGGTTGTGTACAACTTTCTGTCATCGAATTAGCTGCGAACGCCACAAGTACGCAGTGTTGGAGAGACTTACAGGGGGAACATAGGCGAAGTCGCCAGGACCCATGATTCTGCACTTGTCGCCGTTCCATAGCTTCAGGTATCCCTTGGTCACTAGGAAGACGTCGTGCGCCTCGGCGTGCCAGTGGAAGCCAGGCGCATCAGAGAGAACGGCACCGCTTGAGAAGACGGCGATGCCACCGTTGGTCTGTTTTGACGAGGCCAAAATTCTGAAGACACCCTTGCTACCGGGGATCGTGACGCGCTCACCCTCGAGCTGGTCGATAATGTAGCTCGTCCTGGCATCAGGAGGGGTGGAGAGAACGGGAATGCTCATGTTGGGCAAAGTGATTGTGGAATTGTCCAATCAACGAAGAGAGAATGAAAGATGCTGGGTAAGAAAATGTGAGTGGGGGCGTTTGTCAAGGGTCTAGATCTCTGGATCGTGGACACACAAGTTGGAGACTTTGGAGTTGTTGAGGGGGTTTGCTGAAGATGGGCTCTCTTCACGTTCCGGGGATGCAAGCGGCGCCAGTCCAGCCTTTTACAGAGCTTCGCTTCCCCGCATTCTAACTCTACTTCGAGTTCGACGGGAAACTATTTGACGCCGCCCACCGGGACCACATGTTTTGCTGCCCCTCGTAAAGGCCCCCCAGTTCGGCTCGTCAGTGCGGGAGTTCGGATATCCCGGGGACAGATCCGGAACAGCCCCGATACAGTAGCGGAAATTCCGCTGTTTCGAACAATCGTCAATGGGCGTAGCCAACGTTCACGTCGCCACGCGGTCTCCGCCGCCCGGAAGCCCGGCTCGGTGGGAGATTCTAGCGAGCCTCGTGGGCCGCGTCTCCAGTTTGCTTCCCATTGTTAAGCTATCTAGGTTGTCCCCCGCCACATCATTACCCCGGACTTTCTTTGATTGCACTTTCTGCGTCTCTCAAATTATCACTGCCGCTGTCACTGCTGCTGTCATTCCTGAGGTCACGGCCACTGAGACAAAGCCACCTTACCAGCCAAGAACACGACAAACCAACAACTTTTTCGTCATGGCAAGCCCAGCCTCTTTCCGTGCAGTCTACAAGACCATAGGGTCACAAGAGATCGATGTGGATGTCTATGCCCCGCCGCTTGGGGAAACCAACAAGGCAAAATGTCCGGTTGGTATGTATACTCACAACCCTTGCATGGCGGGCCACACCAAAAGTCCAATGGAGTCACTTCGGATTAACAGTCGTGTGTCTAGTCATCAATATCCACGGAGGCGCATTCCATCTCGGCTCCTCCAAGATGGTCAACAAGGACCAAGTAGCTGACTGCCTTAGCAGAGGCTGGATTGTCATAGCCCCTAATCACCGTCTGTGCCCTCAAGTCACGCTTCTGGATGGGCCGATGAGAGACTGTCGTGACCTCCTGGGATGGGTGTATGATGGTGGCCTTCAGAAGGCCCTTGACGCTAATGCTGATGGATCATATGCCGTTGACACTGACCATGTCTTTGCATTTGGCACGTCGTCTGGCGGCACTCTATCCCTTGCCTTGGTAAGTTCATGCATCTTAGTGTCTGCAAGTCATTACAGTTACCAGATTCGTCCATGCTAACCCATGGTCACTTTACAGGGCTTTGGAGTTGAACGCCCCGTTGCTGGTATTTATGACATGTACGGGCCTAGCAACTTCACCCACGCGTTCTGGGAGAAGCCATTGCCGCACGTAGCAGCAAAATTGCCCAAAGGTCTCACAAAGGAATTCTTGAACAAAGTCTTTGACGAAGACCCAGTGCCAATTCTTGGAGGAGTGTCACTGGAAGGTCAGGCGCCAGGGCCGCCCAACTTTGATGACCCGAGACAGGCGTTTGCGATGACACAAATAGCCACCGGCAATGTCATGAACACCATTGTTCCTGACAAGAACTGGGATGCGGTCGACCCCATCAGAAACATCACTCCGTCTTTCCCGCCGACTTTCATCGTGCATGGACAGGCGGATACTATGGTGCCCCTTGAGCTTAGCCAAGATTTGATCAAGGTGCTGAAGGAAAAGGGGGTCAAATCTGAATTGAGGGAAATTCCGGGCGAGGAACATACGTTTGCCGCCAAGATGAAGGTGGGATCCCAGACTTGGAATCTTCAGAGAGAAGGCTTTGACTTCTTGGAGAGCTTGGTCAAAAAGTGAGCCAGGGGCAAAAAGGAGTTAGTTGAGCGGAAGCTAAGGTGGTCAATTTGAAATGGACTCATCTGGCTCAAAAACCAACTACATGAAAATTGCAAATTCGATTGAGAAATGTGGTTGGCTGCGCCAAGTGAGACTTTCAGCTTCCTTTGAGCCGTAAATCATCCAAACTGTCAGTCATCGAGTTGATGCATGAAGTTCAGACTACACGAAACTCAATCGTGAATTCGGATGATCCGTACGTGTGTCTGTAGTTGTAGTGTGTCTCGGTCGAATTGACAGCGGGTAGTAAACAACGCAAAACCTGACACGCAAATCCAATACTCGACCAAGAAGAGAAATACTATGGATAACATAGTGCATCAGCTGCACACTTACGTGTCAAGCGTGACAGAAACCTAAGCCACCCACTCTTTCATGTGCCGGTCAAAACGAGTTAGCACCATCCGGGGTCCCCGCCACCCTAAAGTGTTGAAGAAAGTCTGGGGTGCAGCCGGGAACTCCGACCCTTGCCCGGATCGATCCCGGTTCCAGCGTTCGCCAGGAGTCCTCAGTGCAACTGTAAAGTCGGTCAAAGTTTGATATAACCCTCCGAGCCTACTTTATCCATCAGCCCATCTGAGTTCTAGCATCGACCAACAGACATCCCATCCCATCAACATCCTCAAATCGGCAATCCGAGTCACCGACATCCCGTCTTTGACAACTTCAGACCTCTTTGCCACCCCTGCCGCTGTGCATTACGCTGGAACGTAGGCACATCTCCGAACCAGACTCCGGGTCGGCGTAACTCCATCGCCGACAGAAGCAACCCAGCAACGATCAACCGGTCGTAGAGTTCTAATTCACAATGGACTCATCACCTACTTCGCCTCGCGATGACATTCGCAAAAGCGATGTTATAATCGACAAGGTCGACGTTCAGCACAATGAGGAGGCTTTGCGTGAGGCTGATCGCCACATGAGCCCCATGAAATGTCTTTGGGACAACCCAAGGGTGTTGCTGTGGACTATCTACGCCAACTGTAAGTAATTGTTCTTGATGGAAAACTTGTCAACTTAACTAACTCTGGGAATTCAGTTGGCTCAACTTTGATTGGTTTCGAAAACTTGGCACTCTCAGTATGCTTGGCCATGCCGGCATTCCAGTAAGCCTCTCAAACCCCTGAAGACTACAACGAGTAATCACAAACTAACTACTGTGTTTTTTTAGGATGACCTTTGCATCTGAAGTCAATGGAACACTCATCATTCCCGCCTACTGGCAGTCTGCTTGGAGTGCGATGTACAATGTCATGATGTTGTTTGGTTCTCTCTTCGCCGGTTACATGCAAGATTGGTTCGGTCGTCGCTCCGTCTTCGCTTTGGCATCAGTCATCGCCTCTGCCGGCATTGCCATCAGCTACGTCTCCGTGACACCACCGGAATTCCTGGGCGGCAAGATTGTTACTGGATTTGCTGTCGGTCTATTGACTTCTACCACGCAAACCTATGTTTCCGAGATTGCACCCCTGCCCGTTAGAGGCATTTGCTTGTCTATCAACACCATCATGCTCGTAAGTCTTATCAACATCCTGCAATAAGTATAACCTGAGGAACATAACTCTAACCAAAACGCAAACAGAACCTTGGCATGCTCAGTGCCATCGCTGCCAGCTTCTCCCGCGTTGCTATTATGGACAAGGCCGCCTTCCGTGTCGTCTTCGCTGCCGCATGGACATTCCCCGGCCTTATCCTCCTCGGTCTCCCCTTCGTTCCCGAATCGCCCACCTGGTTGGTCTTCAAGAACAAGCACGACGCTGCCCGCAAGGCCCTCGAGAGGCTTTCCGGCCCGAACGAAGATATCGATGCGCGCCTTGGCCAGATCATCGACAACGTCGAGACCGAACGTCGCCTGCAGATGGAGGCCGCTTCCTACCTAGACTGCTTCAAGGGCACCAACTGGAGACGCACGCGCATCATCCTCATCTGCTTCTACATCCCCCAGGTTGCCGGTGCCGTGCTGTCCTCCAACGCCCCTTACTTCCTTAACCAGACTGGCCTCTCTAGCAAGACTGTCCTCCTGCTCGTCCAGGTCGGTATCGCGGCTGGTGTCGTCTCTGCCATCGTCAACTCCATCATGATGGGCAGACTCCGCCACCGCCCACTTCTGTTCTTTGGCGTCTCTATCTGCGTGGCCATGTATTTTACCATGGGTGTCGCTGCCGCATTCCCCAAGACAAACGCCTCGCTCTTGACGATTGGAGTCTCGCTTGTATTCACCTCCATCTCCTACGGACCCGCAGTGGGTGCCTCCATGGCCGTGGCCGGTGAGGTCTCCGCTTCAAAGCTCCGTGCCAAGTCGCTTGGTATCGGCTTCGCCTTCTCCTCCATCGTGTCCACCATTTGGACCATCATCCTGCCGTACCTCTTCAACCAGGACGAACTCAACATGGGCGGTCACATTGGGTGGATCTTCTTTGTCATGGGCATTCTCATGTTGGTGGTTCTCTACTTTGATGTTCCGGGCACCAAGGGACGCACGTTTGAGGAGTTGGATATCATGTTTGAGCAGGGCATCTCGGCGCGCAAGTTTGAAAGCCACAAGCTCAACCTGGGTCCTGTGGACACCAAGTGAGTTGTATGTGTGGCCGCGGCCCGCGGGATGTTACCAACAGACGCGTGTGTGTGCGTTTAGTTATGGGCCCTATCTCCTGTTTTGGGACGACTTTTGTTTTGAGTTTCGAAAACTGTTTTGGTAGAGAACTGGAAATGAGGAAAAAAAAAAAAAACTCTTTAAGCGGGTCTCGCCGCAGTTGCTTCAAAAAAGTGTCCTGCAATCGCTGAACATGAATCCACAATCGCTTGTTGATCAACCTTCTTTTGTGACAGTAAGTTCTGGACATCTGCACGTTTTCGGCCCTTCTCGATCGATGCAACACTGGCGGCAAAGCCGACGTAAACAAACCGGAATTCCCGGCTACAAGTGGAGATTCTGTAACCCCGCACAGAGGGGAACTCGACGTTAGTAAGCAGTAAAGAGTTAGAATGGCAGAAAGAGTTGACTCGAATTGACCGGATAGAAGGCATGGATGGGTCAGTCTAGGGAGCAGAGAAGCAGTGAATACTGATACTCAATGTTCGTCTGATACAACCCAGGAGAAGGAGAGAGATCAAATCGAATGGAAATGGTTCATTGATAGTACGCCGATTATGACTTTGTCTCCCTGGACCATCGGTTCCCCTTTTTTTTGGTGCGCGACTCAGTCGCATTGCCGTCATCACAGCCCAATCCCACGTGAGGTTGCTCCTGAGTCAACTCCATACTATCACAAAGTGACAAAGCTCTTGGTTTAATCTGTTCCAAGCTGAGAATGCTTGATTCAACAGGACATCCCCGAAGATCGGGAGACTAGGGTGTCGGCTGACCAAGCTTACCAATAGAGACACATGTAATTTGCTTGAAGAACCTCTCCCCCAGTCTCCCTCGATCCGTCTCCCTCACCCCCAAGCCCCCTCCTCCTAGTCTCTATCCGTAGTCTCTTTGCTGCCCTCTCTCTCTGAACCTTCTCCCCGGCGTTACTACTCTACCCCACAGAACATTCCCCGCATCTGCTTGCCGTCCGTCGTAGCACTTTGTGCGGGGGTGGAGGTCGATCGTTTGGAGCGCGCGTTCCCACGTTCCTGCGGCACCGGCAGCGTTTCGGATGCGCGCGGCGAGCACAGCAGGCGGGCTGTTTTCACACCTTTTTCCTGCATAACGCATACCCAGCTTTCCCATCCACCAAAAAGATCTCCATCGACAAACGAAAGACGGCGGGTGTTCCGGTTCTGAAGTCATCGATCATCTGATTCTGGCCTGATACCTTTTTTTCTACCTCAGTCTTGTTTTCTTATTTGTTCTTGGTTCAATGGACGCTGCTGCTGCTGCAGAGACCCAGCGGACGACGCAGAACTCGGGGATCAAGGTCCGTCGCCCCCGGGCCGCCCGCGCATGCGATCTCTGCAGGGCGAAGAAGAACAAGTGCGATGAGTTGTATCCTTGCACCTACTGCAAGAGTAGGTTTGTCCACGACGATGATGAAATCTCTGCCGGCAAAAATGCCTCAATAGGAAGGGTTCCTAGGGCTAACCGCGGGAAACTAGATCGGAATGCGACATGTGTCTACAAAGGCCAGGATATGTCAAGGAGGCTCTACACTCCAGAGTAAGCGCTCCCTTGGCAACTTAACTTTGATCTCTTTAGCTTACCTCATCGGCACCTCTCAGATATGTGAGACAACTAGAAGAGCAGGTCAAGAGCCTTTCCGCAGTCGCCGAGTCCGTCAAGGCTCAGTCGGTCGATGACAATGCCTCAGTCATCGCCAACGTCCCCGAGATATCAGAGGGATTCTCCCCGGACTGCAGCCTCCAGAGACGGCCATCGCGGAGCACCGCCGCCGGCTCACCATCGAACGCCCGGTCACGGAACGCGGCCGGCCAAGAGATCTCCGGCGTCAACCGGCACACGCGGAACGTTGAGTTCTACGGCAGCTCATCCTCCGTCGCTCTCCTATCACACGTCCAACGGACAGGAGATGAACCAGTCATCTCCCCGGATCTTGACTCCGACGCCGGGACTCTTCTCTCAAGCCTGCACAACCCGGCCTTCTCTTCGCCTTCGGCAGACCAAACACAGACGCCCGCAGCCGCCACCGAGCCGAGGTCGGCCGCGAGACCGGTGACGCATTACCCGCAGTGCCGGCACTTTCTCCAGAGCTTCTTCTCCAGCATACACTTTGTCCATCCGATTCTCGACAAGAAGATCTTCTTCGACCGGTGCGAGGAGCTGTGGTCGAAGCCGGACGTTGCGCGGGAGCCTTCCAGCTTTATTGCACTCTATTACAGCATATTGTCGCTGGGCGCACTCATTGGCGTCCGGGAAGATGAACCGATTGATGGGATTGAGAACCTGCAGTGGAGCCGGAAGTTCTTTGACGAGGCGAAGAGGCGGTGCGATCAGCTAGGGATGGTTACGGACCTGGAAATGGTTCAATGCTATGTCTTCTTGGTGAGTCTAGGGCTCCACGACTGAGGATGCTCGACGCTGACGTTGTTGAAAGGCCAAAGTGTGCCAGAACGAGCTGAATGCTCACTGTGAGTGCTTGAAGCTGTTGGAGACTTGTTCTGCTGTACTAACTTCTGAACAGGGGCATACATGTACGTCGGTCTTGCCGTGAGAACGGCGCTTGCGATGGGCATAAATCGAGAACCCGGACCCGACGTCAAGAAGGAACCCGCTGAGCTCAGAGCCGAGTCAAGAACGTGGTGGTAAGGATGCCGAGCAATGAGAGTCTAGAGAATTGCAGATGACTGACAAATCTGAACAGGGGTCTCTATTCATTAGAAACGTAAGAATACTAGCCGGAGTAAAAGTTCGGCTCGTGCCGAGAAGGCAGAAAGACATGCTAACTTCCCTCTCAGAGAAATGTCCTTCTCGATGGGTAGACCAGATACACTCGGCGCAGATTTATACCACAACCGACTATTCCCTGTCATTGGCGAAGCAGACACAGAATATTCCGGCAGTCTAGAGCTGGTAGACCCACCCTCATGCGCCATCATCAAAAGTATGGTAGACTACTCCAAAATCATCCGAAGCATCTGTTTGGGGATCTATCTCCCGGAGACGACGGTACCACGAACCGTCCACCTGGCGCACCAAATCGACCAGGATCTGCAGCGATGGGCGGAAAGTCTGCCTGAGCCTATCCGCCCTACCACATCCGTCGAGCCGCGCTCGCTAAAGAGCGTCAAGGAGGCTCAGTGGATGAAGAGGCAGAGGCTTGTCTTGACTATGCGTGAGTTTTACCCTCCGGTTTCGCTTGCGGTTGAGGTTTGGGCCGTATCTGACAATGCCATGCAGGGTTTCTCAACATAAGGATACTCCTCTTTGGGTCGATTATTCTCACATCAACCTCGGCGGAGCGGGCCTCCATTCCGGGCTCGCAGGAAGGCATTCACCTCTGCCTTGAGTCTGCGAAGCAGACCATTGAAATCATTTATCAGACGTATCAGCATCATGACTTTTTCCGCACATGGTCAGTACTTTCCATACTGTTTGTGATCGGTAAATGAGCCACCCTGCTAATTCCACGGTCTCACAGGTTTTACAACACAACATACACTGTCTTCGCAGCATCCATGATCCTAGTTTACGTGACACAAGAAGCGACAGAGCCCGAGGTGCAGCCTCTCTTGAAGTTAGTTGGCATGGCCATTGAAATACTCGAGACCATGGACGAGTGCGTTGTCGCGCTGAGGTCAGCCAAGTTATTACACAAGGCCATCCAGAAGGCGGAGAAAAAGTTTTCCGCGTCGACCCCCGCAGATCTACAGATTCCCGCGATGCCACCGGCTGATGCCATGCTCCAACTCAATCACTACTGGGGCCCGTTGAACATTCTCGACAACGAGATGGACTTTGGGTTCGCGATGCAGTTTGCGGACTTTGAGGGGACGAATTCGCTATTTATGGCGCTCGATGATCCGAGATCAATGCAGTAGATGCCGATGAAATGAAATAATAGAACAATGATGACACATCTTCACAGCCAGAAACTCCGAACATCTTGAAGGCTCGCATGAGCGTACTCATAATTACTTGAGCCAATATGGTGCCTTTGTTGACATTTGACCCTGTTCGGCCGATTGACCGGTCGTGTTTACTGGATGATCATACTCTTAATGACCAAGCCATAACTATTATCAGCGAGACTGGGCCAACGTGACAACCCGGCGATGTTGTTTTGGAGAACTGCCGGTCTTTATTGCCACAAACGCGTCTTTTGGACTTTAAATAGCGTGCATATGACCCCGGAGATTCCCACAACGCTGAAAAGCCGACAATAATTGGGGGGTCCCTTTGACTCTCCGGAAAAGCCGAAGGTGACACGGAGCCTCATCGAGGGGCAAGCCGCCGCACACCACACTAATGCTGACAACTGAGGGGCGGTATGTGGGGGGTTTTGGAGAAACCGATCTGATCTCGCGGGGAGCCTTGCACTCTTGGAGGAGGGGAGATTCCGGGGTCGGCGAGATCGGTCGCCTTTGGCCGACATTTTTACATCATCACATGGGGAAGTGTGGTAAGCTAGACGTCGGAATCCGGGGTTCACGATCTTTTGTAGCATGGGACAATAACAATTGCGATCCTTGAGAGTTCTGATCTAAAAAGCCAGAGCTGCCATTGAGTTTTGGCTCGATATTCTTCAGCAACTGCAACACATTCTCTAGCGACCTCAAGATCGAACGAGTAATCTTCTCTAACCTGTCACCTTCAGGGTCCCGAAACCACCTTGTCAGATCTTCAAATTACCATTCACATTCACATTCGCCACCATGGGTTCTCAGGTTGACGACAGAGATTTCACGACTTTGCTGTCTGAGCTCACGCTTGAGGAGAAGATCACTCTCCTCTCTGGCCGTGACTTTTCCACGGCAGCAGGCGTCGCTCGCTTGAACATTCCTCCCATCAGAGTGAGTTTGTCCCAAGACCCTATGGCGCAAACCGGGCGCAGAAACGAAGAAGCGAGCTGACATTTCCACCCATAGGTAGCAGATTCAATCGCCGGCGTGCGCCCCTCAGGGATCACAGCCGACCTCACGACAGCGTGCTTCCCCAACACAGCCTGCCTTGGATCGACATGGGACGCCGAGCTCCTCGGCCGCCTGGGCGAGCGCCTCGCTCACCAGGGCCGTGAGAAGAGCGCTCAAGTCGTCCTAGGCCCGACGATCAACATCCACCGAGACCCCCGCGCGGGACGCAACTTTGAGTGCTTCAGCGAGGACCCGTTGCTGTCTGGACAGCTGGCGGGTGCCATCGTCAACGGTATTCAGAGCCAGGGTCTCGGGGCCTGCCCCAAGCACTTTGTTTGCAATGATTCGGAGACGCTGAGACACTTTTACGATGTTGACGCGTCGCCCGATAGCCGACCGCTGAGGGAGATTTACATTGCTGCTTGGCAGCACTTGTTGCGGACTTCAAACCCTACTGGTGTCATGACTGCGTAAGGCTCTTTCTGCTCTTTCTCCGGATGCATATCTGCGCCATCTATGGAGCTTGAAAGTCTGTACTAACAACGATTTGACACAGGTACAACAAAGTCGACGGCACATTCTGCAGCGAACACGGTCCCCTCATCGAAGGCGTCTTGAGAAAGGAGTGGGGTTTCGAGGGCATTGTCATGTCCGACTGGTTCGCCGTCCACAACGTGGTCGAGCCTGTCAAGGCCGGTCTCGATCTTGAGATGCCCTTCCCCGTATTCCGAGGCAAGAGACTCGCCGAGGCCGTACGATCGGGCCAAATAACCGAGGCGGAGATCGATGCCAGGGCGCTCAAGATGCTGGAGCTGCGAAACCGCACGCGGACCAGCTTCAGCGACGAGCCTGAAAGATCCGAGATTAACGAGGAGACGAACAAGATCTCCAGGGAGCTCGCGGCGAGTGGCATCATCCTGCTCAAAAACGATAACCAGGCCCTGCCCATCAACCCCGCAGACAAGCCCAAGGTTGCCCTCATTGGCGAGTTTGCTGGATCTCCCGTCGTGACTGGCGGTGGAAGCGCGTCTTGCACGCCCCAGTACCGCCACTCGCCGTTCAAGGTCTTGAAGGAGGCCTTCTCTGGGGAAGAGAGCGTTCGCTACCACGCCGGTGTTCGCACACGCAGAGTCATTCCCGTTGCTCCCACTGCGCAGCTCACAGCACAAGATGGACGCAACGGCGTCGACGTGAAGTACTACAACGACGACACCCCGGAGCCGATCCTCACCGAGTTCCAGGAGAAGGCCAACGTCTGGATGCTGGGCGAGTTCAAGGCCGGACTCAAGGTCCCTGGCTCTCGCTTCGAGCTTCTTACCAGGCTGACGCCCCAGACGACTGGCGAACACACCCTCGCGGTGCAGGCCACCGGGGATTTCTCCCTTGTCGTTGACGGCAAGGAGATTCTGTCTGGTCCTCAAAAGAAAATTGCCACGGAGCAGTTCATTTTCAACCACGTCAAGCTCGAGACGCGCGTGCAGCTGCAGATGAACGCTGGTCAGGCTTACGACGTCAAGCTCGTCAACAAGTCCTGGGATCACCTGGTCAAGGGCGAGCCCACTCCCTACGCGGCATCAATCGGTTTCGAGGAGCACCGCTCCGACGAGGCCGCCATTGCCGAGGCTGTGGAACTCGCCAAGGCCTCAGATGTGAGCATCATCTACGCCGGCCGCAACGAGCAATACGAGTCGGAAGGTTACGATCTGGAAGACATCCGCATTCCGGAAAACCAAGCGGCGTTGATCAAGGCCGTCGCTGCCGTAGCAAAGAAGACCGTCCTGGTGCTGCACTGCGGCAACCCCATCGACATCAGCGCTGTCGTGGACGACGTCGACGCGGTGCTCAACGCCCACTTCCCCGGCCAGGAGGGCGCGCAGGCGACAGCGGATATCCTCACCGGCGCAACAAACCCCAGCGGACGCCTCGCGACGACGTGGTTCAAGTCGCTCGAGGATGCCCCCACCTATGGTGATTTCCCCGCTACCAAGCAGGAGGACGGCACCCACAAGTTCCGCTACGCTGAGGGTATGGGCATGGGATATCGTCACGCCGAGGCGGCGAAGCGCTCCCGCTTCCCCTTTGGATACGGCCTTTCATACACCACCTTCAAGTACTCTGATCTCACGACTAGTGTGACTGGGGCAGACAACAACGCGAAGCTCAAGGTTTCTGTCAAGGTGACCAACTCGGGAGACCGCGCCGGAAAGGAGGTCGTACAGCTCTACGTTAACCCGGCAAAGGAGACGCCGACCGCCGTCTGGCGACCGGAGCGCGAGCTCAAGGCCTTCAAGAAGGTTCTGGTACAACCTGGCGAGTCGGTCGCGGTAGAGCTTGAGGTCGACGCCAAGATCGCGTGCAGCTACTGGGATGAGGCGGAGAAGGCTTGGAGGCTGGAACGGGGGACATATGGCGTCCGGGTCGGAGATCTCCAGGGTGAGTTCTCGATCAGCGAGGGAACGACTTGGGGTGGGCTGTAAAGAGTGAAGAAGAGTTCGGTTGGTGTGTGGCGTGTGACACGTAGGAGACGGACTTTGTTCTGGACCCTGTCCAAAGAGCCATTGATATTTGTAGTTTGCGTGCTGCGACATTGTATGTTAACCGGATACCAGTAATCTGTCATCACGTCTTCAAAGTATCTAGCGCTCAATGGTCCGTCTTTCATCGTCGCTCCCGGTAGGATATCGTCCCGACGCGGACCAACGTGAACCACCAAAGCTCAAGTGAGACATTGGGTGGTGCTGCGTACGCGCCGTGCCGGCTCCCCTCGATAGCTAATGACCGCCCCCTAGACCTTGTGTCCCCGATCGAAGTGATGATTCTCAACATTCTCACTCAGCCATCCCAACCTGATTAGGTGGGATTGGAGCTTGAATACATGACCAGAGATACTGGTGATCAAGATACCAGTCAGCAGATCATCCAATTTGATCAACGTTTACGGAGTACTCATCGAGAGATTTTGTCCACTCGCACTCACACACAAAAGAAAGCTCGGCCGACGTCTTGGGACCGGTACCCGAACAACTCGGTATCGGTCCCCCCATTACCGAGTAATGAACGACATCATCAATCACCGCAGAGTAAGGTATTTGATCCCATCTTCAGAGCTATGCGGCCATGGGAAACCCTACACCACACCACTTCATCGCCAGAGTCCACGCGCGCCAAGGGGTCAGTGCTTGCTTTGATATGTGCACTCAGTGAACGGGACAGAGCAAGAGATGATCCTCAAGACCATCCGGCCCGGATTTGGGACCTGTATGCTCGGAGCGGGCGCCAGATCTACCTGCTCTATGATAGCACAGCCCGCTCGCGATCATGGAGGCTCTGGTCCGGTCTCATTCACACATCATCACAGCGAAGAAACACGTTTTTGGCAAAGACGAACCTAACGAACCGCGGGCGACTCAGGCGAAATCCGCACCTAAACATGACCTAATCTTAAAGCATCGACGCCGACCTCGAGAATAGACACCAGCAATGATCCTAGTTCCACAAGCTCCCACTAAATATCCGAGACCTCTTCGTCCCATTTCGGCTGATTATTCCAACTAATCATTAAACAGCTTAGCCTGTTTCCCTCCATCGTAGCCTGTGCGTTGACGCCCCATCCCACCGCTTTGGGGCCAGTGCCCTGTTTGATTCTTGAATCTTAGGCATGACGGGAGTTTAAATCTCCTTCAATCTGCGATCCAATTGCTATCAATTCTACCGCGCCAGACAACCTCTTGCGGTAACACGGTAGATAAAGTAGGTACAATACTGGGAGGGGCAAGACGGAGGGGGATGGTTGGGGGGAGACAGACTTCAGATGATTCGCACGTCCTCGACCACAGAGAAGCTTGAATGTTGGCGGAGAGTTCGCGCCTGGTATATGCCCGTTAATCTTGTCCTGCAGTTGGTGGCATCACCTTGGAAGAGGCACGGATGTTTCCTGGCTTTGGCTGCAGGTGAGTGACTCTTGTCTCCCACTCTGCCCCTCCACCATAGACTTCCTATCCTAGAGACTCGCGTTCTTAAGCAAATCAAGCAATCCACGATTGGCAAATCTTATTCCATCCCATCAACTTGGATTTTCGGCTTTACACTATCGAACCGGAGTTTAGTTGCCTCTCACTTCATACCAACAGGAAAGCCCACCACCCTCATCGTCACTTTGGTTTCGTCTCGTCCCGCTCAAGCCTGTCTTAGTCCACCTTTTCTTGGAGTAGCCGGTAAATTCGTACTAACTTGGAAGACGGATGGGGACGCCTTCTTTCTGTGGCGTATTACACTGCCCTTGCAGTTCTCTCAGGGCTGGACGGGACGCCTTCTCCGGGACCTGTTCGCTTTGACTTGAACTAACCCAAAGAGACTCCCAACATCGGATTAGCCTGACCATCTTGCGACTTTGATTGATATGCCGTGCCATCTGCCCCCTTTTCCCCTACTGTTCCTGGGTTTCATTCATTCACCCAAACACAAGAGACAGAAACGAGTCCCACAATAGTTCACGGCCAGGACCCACGATCATAACGCAGCCCTACGGGACTACGGGACTACAGGAACTGGATCGCAACGCGAACATCAGTCCGGCTCGCGAGCGGCCACCCCTGTCGGACGAGCGTGGCGGACCCGCGCGGCGATGATCGCACGGCCCCACGGCGACGGCCACGGCTCGGTCGCATCACGAAGTAGACATGGATATGGAAGTGGAATCGGACATCATTGAGGACGGAGGCGCGCCGGGGTTCGCTCCCCATGGGAAGGCCGTCATAGCTTGCGCGACCATTTCGGTCGGACTCGCTGGTCTCATCGTCGGCCTGCGGTTTTTCGCACGATTATATCCCGCGCGACTGCTAGGAAAGGAGGACTGGTGCATATTCATCGCATGGGTATGTCAAGTCTCGAGATCACGGCCCGACGCCGAGGTGAAGGGCAGGTGCCAAGGCAACCAAGATACCAGGCATCTGGGGTCCCTGGGCATCGATATCTTGAACTGGGCTAATACTCTGGTTAACCAGCTTTTCTCAGCGGCGACTTCTATTGGCATGTGCCTTCGTAAGTCAATACCCACTCTCCAACAGCATGGTAATGGTATGACTGACATAACGCAGAGGTCAAGACGGGCATGGCCGAGGAGTTCTCGACTCTCAGCGTTTATCAGCAACAAACCTTTTTCAAGGTATGATAACTCTAAAATCAGTTTGCACGCAAGAACCCAGCTAATCACCCCGAAACATAGTGGGCATACCTCACTATAATATTCTACAACACTGGCCTCGCCTGCGTCAAAGTCTCGATCCTCCTTCTCTACCTGAGAATCCTTAGAGACCTCAATTACCGTAAGGCATGCTACGTGGTCCTATTTCTCGTGGTCTGCGTGTCGCTATGGACGGTCTTATCCTCGATATTCTTCTGCGTGCCCATTACCAAGAACTGGGACCGTGCCGTCACTGGCGTCTGCTTCAGCCAGGGCATTGCCTGGTTCGTCAATGCCGCTCTGAATATCCTTACCGACTTTGCGATTCTTATCCTGCCATTACCGATTCTGCCCAAGATCAAGCAGTCTCGCCGGCAGAAGATTGGGCTATATTTCATCTTTGCGCTCGGCTTTTTGTAAGTGGTTCCGAGTACTCGTGCGGTCAACGTATCCATCTGACCAACATCCATCTCAGCATCTGCGTTGTCTCCATCCTCCGTATACCATCCCTCATCGTCGCGAAATACTCTCGCGACCCAACATTAGACAGCCCAGGCATAGCAAAATGGTCCGTCGTAGAATTGAACACAGCCATCGTCTGCGCTAGCCTCATCACTCTCAAACCACTCGCCATGCGCTTCTTCCCCCGCATGCTGGGCTCCAACCGCGGCGACGTCGGCCGACAGCGTGGCCCCGGATCCGAAGAGATACCCGCGACCGTAGGTTCTAAGGAAGCGCGAAACGGGGGCGTGAAGCATGGCCATGCGCGGGCGGTGTCTGACGGTAGTACCATCCAGCTAAACCACGATACCTTTGGAGGGGATTCGGCGATGCATACGCAGCATACGGAAATCTCACGACATAGTTCTGCGGGGACGTCGGATCTGGAGCAGGGGATGAAGGCGTCGGCTGTCGAACTCGAAGGAGATTTGGCGATACGAACGGATAAAGCATGATTGAACATACCATTGTAACCAGATACCACTTTATTTTACGCTTTTGTATTTTAAGAAACGGTAATAACCATATTTGTCCGACGCTAGCTGGCCGTGGAGAAGTTCGCGATGATCTTTTCGTACCTGTGCATGTTGGCCGTTGGAGATTGCAATTGAGAGCTGTGATGTTTCTTGGCTTGCAGGGATCCGCGTCCGTTGATCGCGAAATCAGCAAGTCTGCCATCCCTCCTCGGACAAGCCCCTCAACTGCCCGCACCTTATTCGTACCACATCGAGACGGATTGGTCCGCTTAACATCGTGAGAGAATGCCATTCTGGACAAGATGGTGTTTAATCAACACCAGAGCGATGACATAGGCTAAGACTTTCACCATCCGGCATTCCGCGTTAAGGTCAGAAGCTGCCCCTGGTCACGACCATGATTTAACGTTAAAAGCTCGTATTCACTCATCTCGCTATCCCGCTAGACCCGAAATTCCAGCAATATCCCCTGCTTCTCGATATTGCTTGCCTTAAAAAAACACCGAATCGCCCTATGGGTGCGTCGTTCAATGTCACCTCAGTGGATCACTCCCGCTGCAATGTGACAAGAATCACCACGGGATTAAAGATGCGCGACGGACCTTATTGGGCAGGTGGGATGAACGACATGCCGTGCTCCTTGGCAAATAAGGTCTATGGATACTTCAAAGAGATGCGGAAAGACTTAATCATTCCACGATGGCCGTCCCAAGGTAGTCGTGCACTCTCTGTTGTAGCATCTGCACGACTTTTACACTCGTTTCTGGATCGTGTTTCCCATCGCAGCCATGCGCGCAGCAGGGACAGCCATCGCAGCTTTGCTCTTCGGAGCCGCAGATGCTCTTCATCAATTCACACCCAGGTCTCTAAATGACACCACCAGTCCCAGCGATCCTGCGCCGAAGCGGTACATCGTCGAGTACAAGTCGCGCGCCCACGGTTCTCGCGTCGCCGCGAAAGTTGCTGCTGGGTTTCCGGGTCTCCGTGTCGTGAAGCAGTTCGACTCGGACATTTTCCCTGCCGTCACAGTCGAGTGCGATGGAGGATGCAGCCCCGAGTCCGTGAGAAGTGCGCTTGACGACGGCGACGAGCCTGTTGTTGCAACGGTCTACAAGTCTCAGGTCATGCAAATTCTTCCGACCGTCGAGGGCGAATCGTACAGCGATGATGCGGCGGCGCTGAATTACTCCGTCCACGGACTCACTGGAGTTGAGAAGCTTCACGAGGATGGAGTCTTGGGCGAAGGGGCAATTGTTGCTATTGTCGACAGTGGTGTTCAGTACACTCATCCTGCAGTAAGTACTTCGACTCTGACCAGACTTGGTTGCAGATGATTAATCGAATGTAGTTGGGAGGAGGCATTGGTCCCAACTTTACCGTTGCTGGAGGCTACGACCTTGTTGGCGATGCTTGGCCTGATGCGCCAGCTCAGCCGGATGACGACCCCATGGATAGATATGGCCACGGAACACATGTTGCTGGTATCATTGCTGGGAAAAGCGATCAGTAAGCAGCTTCAAGTTCCTCCTTGCTCAAGAAGCACAACTAATTCTGATCAGGTTCGTTGGCGTAGCTCCCAGAGCCAAGTTGTTGTCATTCAAGGTATTTGGTAGCAGTGGCTACTCAAACGAGGAGACAGTTATCGAAGGTTTCCTCAAGGCGTACGACTCTGGTGTAAGATGATGGGACATACTTTTTACAATGGGAGATCGACTAACACTGCGCCTAGGCCGATATCATCAGTGCCAGTGTCGGAGAAACCAGCGGTTTCACAACCAATGCTCTCGCTGTGGTCGCGTCCAGAATTGTCGACAACGGCGTCGTTGTCGTCTTTGCTGCTGGTAACTCTGGACAGGATGGCCCCTTCGACATGGCAAACGGTGCATCTGGCGAGCACGTCTTGACCGTGGCATCTTCTGACCCGGGAGTGTTCCCTGCCCAAGCCTTCTCCGCAAAGTTCAACTTGAAGGGCAACTCCAACAAGACCGAGATCGCCTACATACCCGGATCCGGTTTCTTCCCAGACACCATCGTCGACTGGCCCATCAAACCCATAAGTCTCAACTCTTCAATCACTAATGACGCATGCCTGCCTCTCCCAGCGAACACAACCTCACTCAACAATACTGTAGTTCTCGTCAGAACCGGCGGCTGCACCAACACCGTCAAGCACACTAACGTCGCGGCCTTCGGTGCTCGCTACGTTCTCTTCTACAATGACGCCGGCCCATACAAGAATGCCGTAAGCTCTAACCTTACAGGTCTCACCGGAGCCATCGAAGCAAACGCTGGTGAGGCCATCATTGCTGCTATCCTTGACGGCGGCAACGTGACCGCCTCCTTCGACATCTCCACTGCCCACTACGTTGGTCTCCGCAACGCAGGAGGCGGGCGGCCATCCTTATTCTCCTCGTGGGGTAGCACCTACGACCTCGCCCTCAAGCCCGACGTCGCTGGCCCGGGCACAAAGATCCTCAGCACCTATCCTACGAACGAATACCGCGTGTTGAGCGGCACGAGCATGGCGACTCCCTATATCAGCGGTGTTGCCGCGCTGTGGGTAGGCAAGTTCGGCGGTCGGGCCGCGCACAAGGATGATCCGGAATGGGCGCGCCGCCTTATCGCGCGCATTACGTCGACTGCGCACGCCGTACCGTGGGCTGACTGGGCGACTACCTCGACTGACTATGGTTTCTGGGCGCCAACGACACAAGTGGGTGGAGGATTTGTTGATGCGCAAAAGGTTCTTGGGTACACTACCGAGCTCAGCTTTGACGGCCGCAAGTTCGAGCTCAATGATACTGCCCACTTCAAGGGCACGCACACGGTGGAGATCACGAATCGTGGCACAGAGACTGTTACGTACAAGTTCTCGGTGCAGGATGCTGGTGGATACACGGCATACACCCCCTCTGTACCAGGGCAAACTCAGTTTGCGGTTCCTGGGATTCCTCTTTACGCGGACCTTGATCCGTTCAAGCTTACACCCGAGGTTTCTCTGCCCCAGGAGGTTGTTATCGCAGCTGGAGAGACTAAGTCAACAGAGTATGATCTCATCCTCACAATATGCCACCATGAGACGACAGCTGACGAGGAATAACAGGTTCACATTTAGCGTCCCTGAGGGAGCAGATGCCAAGAAGTTGCCAGTGTACAGTGGCAAGATTCTTGTCAGCGGTAGTAACGGAGAGGAACTTGGTATTCCTTACTTCGGTCAGTTTATTTCTCCACAGGTGCCTGATCTTCTTAAACTAATGAAACTGTAGGCGTTGCCTCCGACTTGAAGGAGACGATTGAAAACGTCTGGGACTACGGATGGAACAATCCTTATCTCACCTCTGGCGTGAATGCAATCAAGCTCGAACAAAAGTCAAAGTAAGTTGCCAAACAGCAACGGACGTCTACATCTGGTACGGGAGCTGACATACATCTGCTAGCTTCACCTTCAACCTCACCCGAGAAGCACAAGACTTCCCTAAATTATTCACTCAATTTGTTTGGGGAACCAAGGAGTTCCGCTGGGACGTAAGTCAAGATCATGTCCGGAGCTGGTATGGGAATGTCGAGCTAATGATTTGCACAGATTTTCTCAGGTAATTACAGCGAAGCCCAATGGTCATACCCTCCTGTTGTTGGTCAGAAGGGTTTCGTCGGCTCAGCAACCGCTTGGAACGGAACTGCCAACTCAGCTTGGTTTATTCCAGGTGAAGATAACGAGGACGACATTTTCTCCCTTCCTCTCTACTCGCAACCTCGTGCAAGGGGAGGTATTTACTACTGGCTCGGCCGATTCGCCGACGGTTCACACATCCAGCCTGGATCATACAAGTAAGAGCCTATTCTTAGTCGATGGCATACCTATTCCTTTGTTATCACATAATCCTAATTCTTGTCACACAGGTTCCGTATTGCTGCCTTGAGGCCCTTTGGAGAGCCCGAGGTTGCAGAAGACTGGGACGTTTGGCAGACGCCAGCCATTACTGTGCTGCCTCTTTAGGCCATATGTGCCTCTGTCGAACATCTAGAGCTTCATGCTCTAACAGTGATTGCGATTGTACGGGTTCTGGGACCTTTAACATCAAAGAAATCAATTCTATAAACTTCAAACCTAATGTCATCAAACGAAATTCCTTCAACTCTGCTGCCGAGGAAGGATCTGCTCCCCGACCATCAGCATCGATTCCATTAATCTTGAGTCTCCATCCTGATTTTCCGCTTCTTTTAGACGTGACGTGCGATGATGAAGTTGTGCTTCAAAAGTCTTCGAGTTTGTGCACCTCATATGGCGGCACCTCGTATGGGTGCGTTCTGCAGCCTTTGTCAGCATCTAGTGCGCCCTTGAATCGCCCGTGGCTGGGCTCAAGTACCTTTTCAAGGCAGAAACTGCCTCTCTCGTAACATCGCGCCCGACGCACAGGATCTCGACCTTGTATTCGGGTACCTGCGCGAGTTGATCGATGTTACCGGTGTGAGGGGTAGCTCCCGCAGCAGAGACAGGTATGAACTGGCATGTGCCTGGGCTCTCAAAAGCGACATGAATGTATTTGCCGTTATCGTAGGTACCGCCACCAGCTTCAAAGATGGCTGCCTTAGTGGCATCTAAATGAGAACCTGAGCATACGTGGCGATGTCAGCAACAGTCATATTCTTGAAGTATTTTAGGCCTTAAGGCTCTACTCACGTGGCACGGAGTATGCAAGCTTGTAGCGATCCGCCATTATTGAGAAAATTTCGTATATCGGTATACTGGCGGGTGGAAAGCGTGGTAACTTTTCAAGCTGGAGATGGAATTGGAACGATGATGGAGCTGGGTATCAGGATGATATTCGTGACAACCCCTCCCTTTTCTGTTGAGAACTGACTAATTTTCGGTCGTAACCACCTTGTGTGAAATTTTCATTATCCGGGAGCCACCGGAACATCCTTATCTCAACAAATTTGTTGAAAATTCTGAAGCATGTCCCCGAACCCCTATGGGA